TAATAAATTTCATACTCCACATCACCCCGAATCATCTGGTCAGGGAGAATGAATGAATAGGACATTAAAGGAGAAATTAGTAAAAGTTTGTAAACAGACTGGTTTGAAATGGCCTGAGGCCTTAAATTTAGTTTTGTGGGATATTAGGAATACTCCAAGGCAACCAATTGGAGTTTCTCTGGCAGAGATCCTTTCTGGGAGAATACTTGCTGTTCCAGGTACGTATGTGCCAGCAAAGACTAGCCTCTTGGATGGAGATGAACAGGTAACACAATACCTTTTGTATTTGCAAAATCCCTTTTTCCAAATGCATAACCATGCCTATTGGTATCAGGGAATAAGCCCTGAAATCCAAGTTCATGATATACAGCCAGGGGACAAAATTTACATAAAGAATTTCAAAAGAGCAAACAGATTTGAACCAAAATGGGAAGGACCTTACACTTTTTTACTAACTTCTTTTTATGCCATTAAGGTATCTGGGAAAGAAAATTGGATCCATTATTCGCATGCCCGCAAAGAATCTGAAGAAGAATGGACAATTGTAAAGTATTATTCCTTTTTGTGTTTGTATTTTACCCTGGAGTGACACCTTGTGGACAAAATTTGCATTGCGCCATGGAGATGCCCGTACCAATAGAACGGTTATTATTTATGTACAGTGATCGTTCTTTTCAGCTTTCGGGCCAAATTATAGACCTACAGGCAATGCCTGGACAGGTCATTTTTTCGGCTAGTTATCCGAAGACCAGGCAGAGAGACCCCATTTACCCGATTTTTTAATTTTCTCGAATTCTGTGCTAATGTTAGAAATAGACTTGACGATTCGTGGGATGCTTGGTCTGACGGTCATGGATTTTCTAAAGGGTGGTGGGGATATGGCATTCCAAGAACTTATCCTGTATATCATATTCACCTTCAAGAACCAACATGGGGAATTGGGACATGGTGCTTTGACCATCAAATGTGGGGAATTTATGGTAACGGAGACTGGTGCTGTCATAGGTTCTATCTATCAAACAATCATTTTACTTTCAAATTTAGGATTGTAATAATTAAATGGGGACCTAATCTTGAGTGGAATTTTTGGCACCATCACACAGATTATCCTCATGCATATCATAATATCCCACCTGTGAATGTGTTAAAACAATTGGTATGGAAACCTAGGGATGTTCACCAAGTAGAAAATCCCTGGACCAACAATATGCACGTGTCATTGATGAGATCTTTTACTGATAATCTAAATCTAAGTGAATGTTGGATTTGTATTGCTCTACCAAAGACAGTGAATCAAGGATTTCAATTAGTAGGAATACCAATTCCTAAAAGCGCAAATTGGAAAAAATACTGGTTTAATACTACTTTTTCTGAATCTTATGAAGAACAAATTTGGGAAATTAAAACATCAAATTCAGGAGACTATTCACAAGTCCACTGTGTACAAAGATGTTATCCCCCAAGTGCTGATAATCAACATTTATGCAAAAATCATTCATTTGTAGGAAATTGGACTCAATGCCAAAACACGATTTCTATCAACTCAGGATTGCATTTAAGTTGGCGAGCACCTGAGGACTTAGGTATTTTTTGGTTATGTGGGAGCAAAGCTTATAAAGCTTTGCCTCCAGATTGGGGAGGTATTTGTACCCTAGGAGTAATGTCTACAGATTTGGAAATTCACCCAAAAACTGTCTCAAGTGCAACATGGCATAGAACCTTTTTAACTTGAATTCAAAGAACTTTAAAACCCTTGACTGAGAGACCAACAGGATTCCATTCATTTGTTAGATGGTTGATTCCAGCTCTAGGAGTAAGTGAATTGGAAAAAGCAGTCTGAAATGCCTCTGGAGAAATTGAAAATTCAACTGCTCATGGACTTTCCACTCTCCAGAAAGAGGTAACTGAACTTTCAGAAATAACTATTCAAAACCAAATGGCCTTAGACGTGATTCTGGCTTCACAAGGTGGAGTTTGTACTGTCCCAAATACCAGTTGCTGTGTGTATACTGATCGATCAGGAGAATTAATGACAGATGTCCAGAAAACTTGGGAGGTTAGTGCCACAATGCAACAAATTCAAAGAGATGGCACATCTTGGGGATTTTCTGACACATTCTCTTGGTTAACGTCTTGGTTTCCAAATTTGACTACTTGGGTGAAAAAAATAATTGTAATAGTCTTTGTTGTTATAATCATAGTAGTATGTGTGATTGTTTTGTTTCAATGCTGTGTAAGTTGTAGCTCTAGGATAATACAGAAGATAGAAAGAGAAATGTGGAGTTATCAATAGGATTACAGGAATGCGATGAAAAACAAAAGGAGGGAATTGTAAAAGGAACTAGGCCTCAAGCCTTATTGTTTTTTCTAAGACTATTCATATTAGACATATAACTAATGATTAGAAATTGGTTTAGATACGATTAATAGAATGCAGGTGCTTATAAAACAATATGCATAAGCTGCTTATTTGTCCTATGTGTCTCCCCTTCCATGGCTGGCTTGAAACCCAGTCAAGCTGAATCAATAGAAGAAGGATCATACATCTTAGGACCTAAGACATGGGAGTAAGTGATTATCTTTAGAACAAGATAAATTAATAGAATAGCCTGAGTAATTTTCAGAAATTCAAAGGTAATCTTTGGTGCATAAGAAGACAAGTGATCGTGGTGACGCAAGACCTTCTGCCTACGACTGCTAACTTCAGAAGAACCGTGACACGAGAATTGATGAGATAAATTGACGAATGATAGCGACATGGGAACCGAGATCAACTGGAAAATCACAAAGTCTTTGGACTGGGACAATGGGTGGTAAAAAGGTATATAAGATTGGGAAATTTGGAAGGTTGCCATTCACTGTGGTGGTGGCCCAACTCTGAGTTGTTAATAAAACAAACCTAGAGAAACCCATGTTTGAAAACTCTTTAACACTTTGTGTTCCGTTTTGGACCCCATCAGATTTTCTCCAGCTTGGCAAGTTAGTGACTCTTCCTTTACTCCTCTCTGTAGACAGTCGAAGTTTGTCTCTACAGAGCTGGGGGGAACTACCACTAATGAGTGTTCTGATGGTAGCTCTGAACACATGAAGGATCAGAGCTTCCTTAAGCCAGGTCCTTGTGCTATTGATCACCTTCTACCATCACACTGCCTCAAGCTTCCCACCTGATTTTGGCACAGGAGACAGCAGTTCCCTCTTCCCTACAGCTTCAAACCCAAATCCTGTGTTCGTGCTTCTTTGGGGATTCCTCAAATGCAAGTTTTTGTTCCTGTCTGTTATGCCCTCCCTGCTTCAGCCTCATCTCTCAACAGGCCACATTAAGGGTACCATATTAGGAAGGCAGTTGTAAAATTTTTAGCAGGCAGCATTATTAAAAAGACAGCAGTGACAAAAGCAGTCAGAGAAAAACAAGCTCAGTCATTGTGATGCTGACAAGATTATAAAAGGAAAGTCCAAAAGACTGTTCCTGAGAGCCCTACCTAAAAACAGGCCTGAAAAGATGAGTTTATTATGAATCTTCTCCACGAGCTACCAGTTTGTGCTATGCGTTTGTTTCTTCAGAGAGAAAGGTCTTTAGGGTCTGGTATTCTTATTTTTGCTAACAGATTGATGAACTGACTGCAGAACGTAAGGGATTTTGAAAGACACTCTGTTGTGAAGGCCTGAAGCACTTGACAGTAACTGGTAGTTTCTACTGCTTAAATTTCACTCCATCCTCACTCCACTCCCCTCTCCCCACCCCTTTGGGGGGGAAAAAAAAAAAGTCTGGAAACTGCATGTAAACCTGCAAGTATGTTATGAGGCAGGAGGTCCACCAGTGTCTCTTGCAAGCTAGGATGCATCACTGAAAGCATCACTCTGTGCCCCCATTACAGAGCCACTGAGAAACCAGAACTCCTAGGAAGTATTCTGCTAACTACAGCCACCAACCCATGGCGTGCTTAAGCTGCCATGGAGCCATCCTCTCATGAACCAATCTCCACAACTGAATCCCATCTTTTCTCTTCCTCTCCCCCTGCCTCAACGGCTCCCGCTGCTTCCCACCATTCAGAAGTCACTGAGGTACTATGGAACAATTCCAGAAAAAGGCAATCAAAGTCTCTGCTTTTGCCCAACTATAGGCCGAATCTGCATTTAAGATTAAATTCTGTCAAGCAGGTAAGTTCCAATGGCAAAAAAGCTGAACATTTGAAATTTTTACACAGGATGCATACATGTTTTATTTTGGGAAATACATTAAAAATTGTGTCCTAGTCTAGGATATCTATACATAATTCAGAATATGCAGAGTGCCCTTTTAAACTCAAGAAACATTTGTCAAATGTACAAAAACATTACAGAGAAACACTTGTTAATCAAAGCACAGTAAATGGATGCCATTTTTCAACAGTTCAAAACAGTCTCTAAACCAGTGCAAATTTTATTGCATTAAAGAAAACTTCCCAGCTCACTTAATAAATTCATAATTTATTCACACTACATCCTTTCATTCTCATTACAATAGTTTATTTTAAGCTCCTAAAAGGAGTTTAATGTGCTTCTAAAAACAGCAAACAATCCCTTTTATTTGCACCATTGATTGATGCAGACTGAAAGAACAAATAAAAATCCCATCTGTTTCTCTCCTCGTATGCATCACAATATACAGCACAGTAGAACACAGAACTAGAGTCCAATTCAACCATTTAGTTTCAAGACTTAAAAGTCACAAGGGTGTGTGTTTTGTTTTTTTAAAAAGGTCCATAATGAAAAGCTGATATACAGAAGGCACCTTAAGGCTTTTATTAGTTGAAAGAAAAAAACCTTTGTTGAAAACGTACAATTATATGAATAAGACGACCTTTATTTAGTGAAATAAAGTTATCTGCATTGAAACAATTGTTGAATTAAGAGTTTTAAAAAGAGAAAACTACTGAGTGAATTCTTCAGTTACTTACATTTTAACAATTTGTTTTAAAAATATAATTTTCTATGATCTAATTTAATATACATTTTGAAAATATCCCCTATGTTGCAGTTATTCAAGGAAAGCAGTAAACTCAATGAAAGGTATATTCTTCTAGCTGCAGCAATACAAAAGCCATTAATTCACAGTTAAAATGGAATAAAATTACTCATTCACAAGTGCAATGTAGCTTGAGCTTAACCACTGTGAAATTTCACTAGGAACAAGACTAAGTTACTTGCAAAAAAATGAATTTAGTTTGAAACATATATACTAAATAAAATATTTTCCATTAAAATTGTATTGTCTAAACTTGAGTTATATAAAATGTGAAGACAGGATATGACTATATGTAACATACAGATGCATCTAGTAACATGTAAAAGCTGGTACCTATTACTGTGCCAATACTGCAGCCACAACAGTCTCCTATACCTATGGGGTTTTGGAAGTTGTTGTGTGCCAGAATATATTTATAATTCATAAAGAAAAACTTTGTCACTTAAGAATCCTGATTTTAAACCTTTAAGACCCCATTTGTTGTTTTAATTCTACAAAAAAATAGCTATTTTGATGTAAGCACACAAGCAGTATGTAACTGTTTTATAGCTGGTGAAAGGTGCAAGATAGTATCTCCTCAGCATAACTGACTGCAGTTCAACATCCTTAGGGCAACAATTCAAGGAAGCTTCTGTGTGATAACTATTATTCCAACACAAACTTTCAAAGTTCTTGGGCTTACCAGAGGTTCATTAACAGTTTGCATCCATGTATGTAATCAGTTTGGTTTATACCCTCACCTTGTGCACACACTGCAGGTTTTGAAGTTAATACTGATCTGCAGCCATTTTCTTCACGTTTATACATGACAATTCCAAAATACACACAGAAAAGCCATCTCCTGAACAGTGGCTGTTGAGCAACTAAAAGAAGTATTTGTAGGGAAGAGTTTTGCAAGTGAGCAAAATAATACTTTTTCTGCTTACACTGAAAGGAAAACAGAACAAAGATCAAGCTTATCCACACTCCTCCTTCAGAACTCTTTGTCTAGCTCATTCATGCATTATGGATTCAGGTAAATCTGGATTACTAGGATTACTAGGAGTGCGGTGTCAAACAAATTAGAAGCATTTGTAGGTAACTAAGTAATTTCCATGCAGCCTAAAAAGTTCATGCTGTTACTACTAACTTGCAGAGAAGAACTCATTACCCCTTTAGTGCCCAATTTTCAGAAAGACAAAAGTGTTTGCGATGCACTCACAAAAAATTTTTGAAGACTTTTCCCTGTTTATTTTTGGCCAGATATTCAACCATAGGAGTATTGAGCCATGCTGAACTGTTTTATGCCGTGCCCTTCTCTTAGGCATGCTCACTAGTTCTTTCAGCATTCAAATTAGGGAAGCCTACATCTCAGAAAGTTTGTGTAGGAAAAAACTGCAGTCTCTACCTGTTTGTAGGAGGAGACCTAAAAGTCAAAGGAAGAACAGGAAGTGCCATCATGCGTTTGAAAGGAGAGAAAGCAACCAGGAAAAAAACACTCAGTTCTTAATTCCTTTCCAATTTTTGTGAACTCTTTTTTTCCCCCAAAAAAGCATCCTCTTAGATGAAACCTTAATAAACAAATCACTTTCAGAAATCTCTCTTTGCATTTAACTACAGATTTCATTCAAGAACCAGCTGATTAGTTAGCCATTAAAAACTAGGCATTAAAAAAAGCCCAAAATTAGAAAGAGTGAGCGCTTACTTTTGTCATTCTATATTAAAGAATTAATTTCAATAGGCAGATTCAAGATTTCAAGTAGTTGCATGAAGAACTTCTACCACTCTGAAGTCCAGGTACATACAACAGGAATAGAAGTTAATTTGTAGTGTACAGAAATGCCAATATACAGGAGCAAATCAAAGCAAGTTCAATCCTGTAGCTGTCTTCCCCTCGGGCTTTAGGGTTTTTCTTGTTTAGTGTATATACCTGGGGAAAGTCTAACATTTAGCACTAGATGCTGTGACACAATCTGCTTTGCTGTTTCTACAACACTACTGCCTGATTAATCTGTATTTTAAGCAACAGATGGGAAGGTTGTTTTGAAAAGAAGGTGATCTGCTTACAGAATTTAGTTCATAATAATATCATTTACAATGGTTTAAAACAATTTGGATGTCATCAGTTCTCTAAAACAGCACTCGCTGGATGGATTTTCTTTGCAATTTAATGAGCTGGGAGAATTTACAGGTAACGAAAACTTGATTCCTTGCAAGTTGCATTACATAATCATATGTTTGTCCATTTAAACATACAGCTATACAAAGATAATTTTTGAGTGTTAAGATCAGTATAGCTTTATACAGAAAATTTTGCCATTTTGATTTGTAGAAGTATTAAGTTGTTTGGACAAATGCTTCAGCAAGACTTTTACTTTAAAAGGATGGAACGGCGTATGTCAATTATGTAATAGGAGAAGAGAGGAAAATGTGAAGAATCAAGCTCTACTCTTCCATTGTGATGTAGGTCAGATATCTGCAGCCAACCGTGCATAAACTCAAAGAATAAAGAATTAAAAAAAAAGCCAGTGTGTGCTTTCTTGCTTTTAATTGTTGAGCAAGCACAATATTTTCATCAGGAGAGAATCTGTCCAGGCAATATCCCCATATTAACTTAGGATCAGCACTTTTAGACAAAATACAAGGAATCAGTCTATGATGCAAATGTATTTTCTCACTAATAGTGCAAATCCTTTGCTTTAGCCTCATGAAAAAACAAAAGTTGGTTTTGTTGTTTCATGTAGAAGCTGTTCCAGACAGATCTTCATCCCTCATCATTTTCAAGAGTGAAAATTCTTAAGAAAGAGAGTAGTACGAAGTAAATACATTCATACTCAAATGTGATTATAGTTTTAGCTATGCTCCTTTAACATGCTACAAATTTTAACTTTTTTTTTCTCTAAGAATAATTCCATCAGAAAAGCCACACCACTAAATTTCAGCAAAAAACCTGGAATCAATCTTATCATATTCCTCAAGTACCAGAAACATTTAACCTGTTGACCAGTATCCAGGCTCTTCTTGCAAAGACTATGACTACTGTAGTCAATGAGATATGTAAGGTGAGGAAGTGTCTTATCTACTAGAAGCAATCCAAAAGATGGATTAATCTTTTCAGATCATACACTCAAGCACTTCATTTGTGCTAATATACACCTTGAAGACCACATTTATAAATACATTTTAATTGAAATATTGAATTTGAACTATCAGTGCAAAATAATTAACCCACAGGCTAGCATGAAACCATGGGAAAAGGTGATAAAGAATTCAAGGAAAAGACACTTTTTAAGCACACATGCATACAGTATAAAGCATGGTTTTTTCAGACAGTATCTGTTTGACGAATGTTTTATGTATCCTAATGCCATTTAATCTTCTTATCTCATTCTTAGAAAGCCACCCATTTCTGAGCTGCTTACTGTAGAAGCCTATCATTCTTCTGGAGAAAGCGGCAACGTTCGTAAGATCTTTAATTTGTCAATGAATACAGGAAAACTGAGTCTAAGTTTCTGGTTTTTACAACTATAGACATACACTATGAAATGTCAGCCAAAGATAATTTAGAATACTGATTGGGACAAGGTGAAGGGTAGCAATTTTAGGTACTGTGATCTGACAAAAGCAACTGCATTGTTGCAACTTCCAATCCAAGGACTCAAATATTTACATTCTTGCATACATACTGCACACCAGTAAAAGATTCCTCTTTAGGTAAAGGTCATTTTAAAGAAGTAGTGAAGGATCTTATGTCTTCTGCGGCAGGAAAGTGAGTTCATTAAAATACACCAATATTGGTGGCTCTTAAGAAAGTCACCAACTACAGGCTGCTGTTGATCAGCCTTTTTGAACAACTTGATATTGTAGGGGAAAGATTTGAGGATGGAAAAGGAGAAGTATATACAAGGAAAAAAAGCAGATCGATCACTGAAACCAACTCACCCTATTATATAGTTTTAAAACATTTTAACGTGCTTTACACTGTGTCTCATGAGACGAAAGACAAGAATATATGTTGTAGCTCAATGAAATTGCTTTGACAAATTGCTTAATTATCACCTTTTGGGATTCAAAGTGTATATCTCACGATGCTCCTGGTTTGTTCACCTCTGCTTTTGTCTCATTGAAGTTTAGCGTGTGTCTTTCTCATTTTTATATTAAAGGTGCTCCAAAGCACTTCCGACAGCACTCAACCCTGCTGCTTGGTGGAGCATCTATCTTTTGCATCTTTTCAAGAACATCCTTTGGTAGATTTTTATGTGCAAGCCTGTATTCACTATCAAAGACCTCTGAAATAGAAAAAGCATAGCTGAAGTTAGTGCACACTACTGTTTCTATAAAATACTTTTGGTGGTTTTTATATAACAAAACAACTAACTTAACTAGCCGCTGTTTTTTTAAAATGCATCCTCTCAGAGAACCTGAAAATAATTTTTGCGCTGGAGCATCACAATGCATCACAGTGGATGCCCGTTACTTCTATCACAGTTCAGTTTGCCTGTTCCCAGGGTATTTCCTCTGTCACATCCCATAAGGGAGTCCCTTTGTTTGCATAGTACCAAACAGAAGTCAGGGCAGAGGAGATCAGGAAGGGGTGGGCAATCAGGTGGCTAGATGACAAAGGTCTAATATGTGGATTGGAGAAAGACGGACAAGACTGAGAACAAGTTTTCAGAGATAAGGAATTAAAGCTTCAAGCTAATAAACTTTGTTTAAAATAACTGATTACTGGTTTCAGACAAAGTCAAAACTAACGGCCCCATTTGAATTACACTTTCACAAAAGCAACATCTGCTTGAAGAGTGACAGCACAGTACTTTTCAATTGGTGTGTTTTAGTGAAAAGTTACTTAGAAACTCATGGATGAAAAGTTGATTTTATACACTAGTTTTCATATAAAGTATTCATATATTTCATACACAGGCACTATCCATTTCACAGGATTTTTTACTTACCAATGTCAATGTTCTCTCTTCCAAGAGACACCAATGACAGGAAAAGAATTTCTCTGTAAAAACTCCTAGGAAACATTTTGAAGGGCAAGTTAATGAAAGCACCAACTATCCTAAGCTTAGAAAGTCAATGCTGAAGATGCTAATCTTGCATTATGTAGTTTCTGCAACTGTTCTGTTAATCTTGATTGTGAGGAAAGTGACCAATCTACATGATTACTAGCTTAAAGTTTTCTCATGCCTGAATATTCTTCCTTAATGCATGAAGTCATATTATCACCAAATCCCAGCAGTTACATTTTCTATGAAAAATCCCTCTGCCAAACATGCCATAAAAACTCCATAAAAACAAGAAATATAAAATTAAGGACCACTTATTTATTAACTCATTCTTTCCTGAGGGTGAAGTACAGGGAGCAGGCTTATTTCAGATCACCCATACTTTGTTTTTTGTTTCAGAATGTCATGATCTATCTCAGAACTTGATATCACTAAAGAATTAGATACTTATTCTTTTTCCCTTGTGGAACTCATAAAGATTCTTCTCTAGGCAGATTAGCTTTTGTTTCTTTTTAGTAACTAGAAATCACAAAAGCAAAGATGACTTAGCATGATAGACTTCAAACACATCTTGTCTCTGCTGTAATTTACTTCAGAGGCTGTGCTTTTGTATGAAGCCCTCTTTGAACTGTAGTGCAGATGGCAAAATGTACCGTACAAGTGTTATTTACATGTCTCACTTTGTTTGTGGATCATGCTGTATCCACTTTTCTTAGCCAGTACTTGAGGTTGGCAGAATTTCGATAGGTATAACTAGGTAGTTTGGAGGCTATTCCAGATACTGCAACAGGACACTGCACACTTGTATTTATCAATTTGCTACACCTGGAACAACACCAAAATCTGCATAGTGTTTTTCTTATTCATCTGTAAAATGTCTGTTTTGATTAAAGAATTACATTTATCCATTTGATTTGCATGAATTAATGCATCTGGCTACAGAATGCATCTGTTTGTAAACATAGGCATAAACAAATTAAGTGTTTGGTGGACACAAATGAAACCGAATATTCCTGAGAGGCCCTTATGGAACTATCATTATGAAGTGTATACAGTCTGATCTTGTTTAACTTTGAGTGGGGAGAAAGTAAGAAGAGATTACCCGTTTACCTCTGTCGTTTCACATCTGGCTTAACTTTCTGTAGAAGGAGGTTGATTGGTTTAACAACATTATTGTGTTGAATACTTAGTTTGATGTTCTCCAACAAAGCCTTTGTTGCCTGCTGATCTTCTGCCACTGTGGTGGGTGTCTTTTCAGAAGAATCTGGGAAATGCAACAGTATAGATTATTAAAACTGTAAAGATTTTTCTTTCACTTTAATAAGCAGAAGATATTTCAGAAAGTGAGATATACATATACAGAACCTCTACTCAATCTACACAAACTTGTGACAACGGAAAGGCTTTGTCTCCTTATAGTCTTTACTCCACCATTAAAGTGACAGGATGCAACAAGTATCCATGTGCAAGAACTCCCACATGACAGAGAAATACAACAGACTGAAAAGTATCAGCATCAGATGTTGCCTGTATGGTTTGTTAGCTCAGATTTATTGCTGTACTTAAGTTGACTCCAAGAAGGTTCTTTTTACACAAAGGAAAAGAAATAAAACAAAACAGAACACTGTCGTGTTTCTTATCAAAGAGACTTTTCTTATCAAAGCCCTTCTTAAAAGCCACGTACAATTCATTGATAACTTTGGGCTACATATTTAAATAGATAATACACAGTTGTGTCAAACAAGACAGAAAATGATCAAGACATTTACCATCACGATTTGTTGCTTCCATTGCGACTTCCAGAATACACTAAACTATTATTTGTTGGAAAACAGTAACTCATGAGGGAATAGTAAGTCCATTTACAGGCAAAAATATAAGGCTATAGATTAGGCAGCAAGTACATTGTGTGTAAATGAAATGTAGAGCAAGGCTAATAATAACAATCACACCAGTTTAAGGTTTTCATAAAATTGACATCTGATGGTTTCAAATGTAATTTTCTGTTTTCCAAATACTTTCTGACACTGCTGTAGAGTTTATCTACAATACTACTACTTTTGTTTCACATTTAAAACAGGCCTTTTGCTCCTTTATTTACATAAATACATATATTTATGCATCCTCATTCATGTCTGAATGCTTTTCATATATTATGCTCAAATCAATATGCTTTTGTAGAAGCTGAGGGAAACACCACATCTTATTCTGTGCTCTTGACTGTAATTTTCTGATCAGTCTGTTTATTTTTAGGACACTTTTTCACAAACCCTTTTTTCTTCCTTAGAACCAGAATTAGCATGCATACTACACAGTTTTTAGCATATTTTTTAAAAGTTAAAACACAGACTGAGAAGTTCAGGTCAATGACAGGTTTTCTGCTGATCAGAAGTAATAAAATCCCAAAGTTCTCATAACCCGTCTGCCTGGTTTTTATTCCTTCCAAATCAAGTTATGGTAGACAAAGGTTTTTCTTGGATATTACTTTTTGACAGTCAAGTAGGCTGCCTAATGTACATATTAATGGGACTTGTGACCTTTCATTCATCTACAGAAACACAAAATACTTCTTTGTAATACAGTCTTCTTTTTCATCCCTGCATAGATATAACCAGATAATGCAGTGAAACATTCAGATCAGGTGAAGCTTATTTACCACAACATCTAGAGCAAATCCTCCCACCCTGTTTATAAGTGTATGACATATAAAGAACAGATAACATACCTTTTCACACAGATCAGTAAGGTATTTTCACAAATAATTTGACACCAAGACTGTGTTAAGTACCTAAGGGATTGCAGATGCTTCACACACTAAAAAAGCTTTCCAACTTGATGGGCTGTGTACACTTCAGACGCTACAGAACAACTGCTTCTTTCCATAGCCTCTGCTCCCTCTGCTTTCTGTAACATTGGTTTTACTTACTGAGATTCCTCCAAGATATGTACAGGGGCTCCCCTGGCTCTTGGTGGAGGTTGATATTGTCCCACAGAAGATGGATGTAGACTAGCTTGCTGTCTTGAGCAAGAGATGTCAAAGGAAGCTAAAAAAAATGAGAAAGGGAAGAAGTTTTACAAACATCAGTACAGTCTTATTATTTAAAAAACTGCTCTTTTACTCGTTTTGCAAACAAAAAAAGGTTTACTTTATTTATCTTGAATCCAACAAACAGGAACAGTTGATGTCTTCTAGAGGAAACTTCACTCAACCAGAGTGAAGTCATAAGTACTGCAACATTTAATTGCCTTTTCTAGTTTCACTTAATATATGAAGACCATTCAGTTTTCTACAGATATCTGAAGAAAATATTTGTGAGTATGTATCTGAAAATATTTTTTCTGCACCAAACACGTTACTTGATTTGTACTACTTATCATGCCATACCTTAGAATTTCCTGATCTGACTAAGATTTGGTATGTATGTCTATGTATTGGTCTTCCCAACAAGCAGAAAGAATCTGTATTTGCATACAGATATGAAACATATCTTTCCATTAAAAATATATGGTGCTCAAAACAATTGTTCCCTAATTATTTTATAAAATTAAGTGCCTCTGGAATCAATAATACAATAAGAATTAGTGGGCAAGAAAAGTTTACCACTAGTGTGTCAATTTAAAGTAGTAATTATGAGATATTATGTCCCATATTGTGGTTTTCCCTGCTAATGCATTGTATTTTCACAGTATGCTTCAGATTTTGTTAGCATTGGTCTTCAACCACATTACTCAGAAAATTGTTTTTGGTTCTACGTGGGGGCTTTTTGGAAAATCAAGGGAGAGAATTTTAAAATTAAAGTGCATACAAGTAGATAGGAAAATACTACCTTTTCACATGCATCATATAAAAATACTATTGAATTTGATACTTACATACAGAAATTGTATCAGCTTCAGAAAAACATTTGCTCCTTAAAATGGGAAAAGCAAAATACTCAAAAGATAGCATTCACTCTGTGTTCTTTTGTTCTATTTGTATAGTAATGAAACTCAGTGGAGTTTGAATAGCAAAAACTATTTGTGAAAAGAACAAAAAATATGGACCAATAACTTAAAAGGTCTATATACTAATGTATGTAACCCACACTTTGTGGATTAAAATGTATTGCAAGTTGTGAGTTCTCCACAGACACATCTTGTTTCTTTCTGTATATTAGCCTTCTGTTTAATGAATCTTACTCTCTGGCCTTTTAAAAGTGAACAGATTGACTAGAATTTGAATGCTCTTTTCACTCATCTTCCTTCAAGATTCCTTGAGGAAAACAAACCTATCTACTTGTATTCTAAAAACCAGGAACGTTGATCCAAGCTACTTTTATTTAGCTACTTTTTTTGAACCAAGCTCTCAAGTTTAGCTTACTCTAGTATCTGCAGTTCTAATATGATGAAGGCACTTACCTGCACTCCATCATTACAGTGTTCAGATGTTAGAATGAGTCCAGGTAAGTTGCTAGGTAGATCCAACCGTCGGAAATACCAAACTAGGTTCCAGAAAATTATAGGGTGCTGATTGATGAATTTGGGTGTATGAATTACTTGCTCTCCCTCATTTTCCAACAGTGATTCAAGCTCCTTACGCAGTACCAAAGGACTCAAGTAGGGTACAGATACAGCAAGAGGGTTAGGTCTTTTTCTTAAAGGATCCTAGAAACAAAATAATACACACAAAAGAAAAACTGGTCTTTTTACAAAGTTAAAGATTTTTCTTCCAGAAATAGTCTTCAGGATTACTTGCCCTGAAAATCCCCCATTGTACAGTTTCTTTTGATATTTGGAAGAAGCCTCTGGAAGTACTGAACACACAATAACTTTAATAGCATCAGCAGTTTTGACTGTTGAGGTGTTTCTTAACTTTAAAGAACAATCACTTAAGCTCTCTCTATTATGTGAAAAAGAGAAAATGCTAATTTGTTGTAACTTGTTCTTCATTATGCAGTTTCAAGCTATCTGAGCTGGTACTAAGCCAGCGGTGATGGAGATTGCAGAAAAATGTCAGTAATTACATCAGCTCTAGAACTGAACCATGAGTTCACATGTTAAGACAGCTTCTTGCCAATAAAAAGCACCAGGAGAGAGGAGAAACACTGTTTCACATGCAAGAATCATGTAATAGCCTCAATACTGCCTCTTACCTTCTCCCATCCACTCAACAGGTAAGCCTAACAGAACATAAAGGAGGAGTGTAAGTAAATGTGTGGAAAAGGAAAAAACTTTCACTCTTGTAACAGGGTGTTGCTTGCGCTACTGTGTTTAGTCTGCTGTAGAAGGTGGGTTATTTTTAAATCAAACTTCCAGTTTCAGAAAGACAAAGACTAGCTTCATTCTGCTAGAGAGAACATTTCAAATCAAGCAGCATCATTTGTACAATGTACTGAAAAACAATTTTAGATTAACTGAACCAAGACTTTTTTTGTCATAAGAACATGAAAATATGCTTGGCCATTCCCATTCCCCAAATGGACAAGAATGCTAGTAGTAGAACATTATTGATTGTAAGTTCATTGCATTCAATATTTTGCTGTCAACTGAATGTGCAGCTTCTAGACTTACCACAACTTCTTGCAAACTATTTGGAAGACTAACTGTTGAAATGCCATGAGATGGTCTCTGGGAAAGATCAATGTTTTGCAGTGGACCTCCAACACTGTGGCTCCGAGTCAAGGACACTCCTCTTTTTGGTGGATTATTGGCAGATGTCTTCATGGTTCTGGGATCTTTACTCTGATCTTCTGCCACATCACTGTTTGGATTTTAGAAGAGAATATGCTAATATGAAACTATTCAGCATTCCTACGGCAATAGGAAGAAAGCAGAGAAAGGCTGCCAAGTAAGTATCCCAAAGCAAGTTTCTCTATTAATAAGGAATCATATTTACCCAGTTAGCTCTACAGTTCAGGGAAAACAAAATAAAATGCCTCTCAGAACAGTATAATCATCCCCCTAGAAAAGCAGCTAAGTAAAAACTAAGACATGAATCTGAAAGCATTGCAGGTCTGTATAGGTACCATTGCTCTGGTACATCTTTATCTTGTGTAGAAAAACAGCCATGTGCAGTTTTGTCAACACACAAAGATTATCTTGTTCTGACTATGCTCATTTGTACTTCCTCTTCCCTTTATGTTTACTTTCTCTAAATGTCATAAGCAGAGAAAAAATATTATAGAAAACAATTTATAAGTTGCATGCCAAAATAACTGAAAAAATAAAATTGTGTCAAACTCATCCAACAAGATAATTTAAGCAAACTTCTGTTACAGACTTGTCAAATTTAACCCATACAATCAAGCCACTTGCAGATCTGGGAATATTCATTTTGTGCCCCTTATAACTGAAACAATGGATAAAAACAATTCAACTACAATACACGAGAAAAAACACCTAGTGAAACAGAAAGTGTCTGCTTCCAAATAATCTGCTAAGAGAGAGATTAATTTAGGGGTGACTTTCCCTCCCAACTTTGACTTTAGTTAAAAATATATAACATCAAGGTTAAGATTAATACAAGCAATACCACCTCACATTTTTTAAGTTTTAAGACTAACTACTATCACATTGATTTAAGTTTTAATACTCTGACACAGGCATTAGCTCAGTAGCTCATCAGCTCACAGGCATTGATACTCAAGAATTCCAAACGGAATAAGGATTTAAAAAAAACCAACAACCTTTTTACATCAAATTGTCAACAAATCCCAGAAAAAAAGTCACAATTCATAGCAGCACTATTTCAGTTCTTCTCTCTTCCAACATGACACCTTCTCCTTAATGCTTCTTCTTCTCAAACTGTTTCAAAAGTGGTATTGTTTATCTGAGTTTCAGTTCTACATTGGTATTGGTCATAGAATGGATGCTCGGTACAAGCGTTGAGTGCTCTGAGAGCTTTCTTTCAAAAAACAGTATTCCAGCAAATTGAGTTATTTTTCCCCATAATGCAGTGTCCTTCTTGTTAAATTCTAAACACATGGAAAGGAGAAGTAATTCTTAAATTTCTGTGTGTCATTAAAAGGTGAGTGTGTTCTAACAATACAGAGTAGAATTTTTACCAATTGCTCAATAGCCAATGGACCTGAAGATTTATTTCTATAATTTTATCTCTAAAACTCACTCATTTAGTGGAACCAGCTTACTTCAAATTGATAAAAGCACACTTAAAACATGCAAAAAGAATGAGAGGAAACAGGTGATCGTCAAGTTACAATTGTGCTTCTCCACCATATTTGGTACATGAGCCAACCTTCACTTTAGAAGTGGGGGAGAAGTACAGTAAGTGTTGATACATTTCTGACAGAACTAACAACCCTGTTTTACCTACCTCTGCTCAGCTGCAGAGCTAGTTTCTTCAGCTATGGTGTGGCTGGGCTGTGCATGATCTGAAAAACTGATCAAGTCAGCAACAGCTGGGCTGGATGACAGTTTGTGCTCCAGGGGATCCATGGTTAATGGAAGGGTACCACTCTGTAAACTATCTCCTGAGGTACTTTGCTTCAGGAAAAAGCTAAGTTACAACATGAATGGGAGGGGAGAGAAATACAAAGGTTAAGATGTAAGAATAAAATAATTTAAAAGTTATTTTCTACATTTACTTTCAAAAAGTAGCAAAAATGAGGAAACACAAAATTAAAACCTTTGACAACAGCCACAAACTTCATCCTACTCTCTCCACTGTAACTTATATAGGCAGAGTAAATGAACATATACAGAGATTTGATCTGCAAAATAAGAAATTCTATGCTGGACATAAGTCACTACAAGTGACCTTAGTTTGTCATGGTTCCCAGTCAGCAACAATACAGCAATAGCTGACACATCCCTGAAACTGATTGTTATTGTAATGGGACATTACAGACTAGAAGACCATACACCATTATAGGCACAAGATAACAGGAACGTGTCTTGCTTTGCTAAGCTTTTTAAAGTACACACTCTACAGATGTTCAGTTTCAGCATTAGAGAACACTAATGGAAGCTCTGTTTCACAGCAATAACCACTACAGTGAGAATCCATTTTAAATTACCTTAAAATAAGTTCCAGCCTTCACAGTGTAATTAAGAGGTAAAAATAGTAAGCGGTAAAAATAGTCAGCAGAGAAGCTTAAACTGGAGAACTACTGGAGAAACAATAAGCTGGAGCATCTGTAACTACAAGCTGTTAGTAAATTTAATTTGGGAAAAATTCTTTGCTGACAGATTTCAAAACTGCTTCATACTCTTTTAGAAAGTTCATGATCCATTAGCTTTGCTTCTGAAGCTAAACAAAATGAAAACAGACTTATACTTTCTGTACAGTTATGCTTGCAAAGAAAATATGAAAAGAAAAAGTGGTAAAAAGGCAACCAGTTCTTTGCTTTTTGGCTGTTTTACAATGCAAGTCCATAGTTTACATGACTTAAAATTTCCTTCAGTACAATCATGACTGTCAAACAGGCAGTGACATTCTTGCAAACATCTAGACAAAAATACTGGGAGATATAACTAAGATCCTTCCATGAAAAGATATAACCATGTACAAATGCAAAGGCAGAAAGAGAGTATCTATAAAACCCACTAACCTTGCAGAGCCACGTAGGTCTTTAAATTCAACATTAAGTAAAGGTAGGAAGGTACTTTTACAGAAAGGACAGGTGGTGTTCAAGTTTGAATCATCTGCTGTCCACCCAGCCATAATTTCTTCATCATAAACCAAAGCATCACAAGCTCTACATTGAGAGCAGCTTGACATCAATACCTAGAACAGCAAAGAATGAGTATTACCAGTTTTGTTTCAGGGTTCTTCTATAATTGGCTTTATAGGCTTAGTATGCACAGGAGTTTAACACGTATCAGAATGCCAGGTGGGAGGCATGAGTTCATCACTATACCCAGAGTTATCTTGTCCACATAACATTTACCTATGAAATGCAAATACTAATAATGTATTTTTCTTAGGTATTTTGAGACCTGGAAGAAGCAGTACCCTGAAATGTTACTAATTTAGCATTTGCAATTGCTTGCTCCTATGAAGCCTTCAGCATATACGAATTGTTTTGAATTTTATAAATAAGTGCATGTCTACTTCTCAAAAAAAGAAAAAAAAACAAACCAAAAAACAAACCAACCAAACACAAAAGCAACTATTATAGTGGTGTGGTGGGTTGACCTTGGCTGGATACCAGATGCCCACCAAGCTGCTCTATCATACCCTCTCCTTAGCTGGACAGGGGGAGAAAAATACGACAAAAGGCATGTTTGTCAAGATAAAGATAAAGGAGATCACTCAGCAATTATTGTCAAGGGCAGAACAGACTCGACTAGGGGAAATTAACTTAATTTATTGCCAATAAAAAGTCAAAGTAGGGTAATGAGAAATAAAAACTAAATCTTAAAACACCTTCCCCCCAATGCCTCCCTTCTTCCTGGGCTCAACTTCACTCCCAACTTTTCTACATCAACACCCCCAAGTGGTGCAGGGAGATGGGAGTGGTTGCAGTCAGTTCATCACACATTGTCTCTGCCATTCCTTCCTCCTCACTCTCTTTCCCTGCTCCAGCGTGGGGTTCAACCCACGGGAGAGAGTCCTCCATGAACTTCTCAAATGTGAGTCCTTCCCACAGGCCGCAGCTCTTCACAAACTGCTCCAGAGTGAGTTCTTTCCATGGGGTGCAGTCCTTCAGGAACAGACTGCTCCAGCGTGGGTCCCCCACAGGGTCACAAGTCCTGCCAGAAAACCTGCTCCAGCGTGGGCTCCTCTCCACAGGGTCACAGCTTCCTTTGGGAGCATCCACTTGCTCCAGCATGGGTCCTCCACAGGCTGCAGGTGTATATCTGCTCCATTGTGGACCTCCATGGGCTGTAGGGGGACAGCCTGCCTCACCATGGTCTTCCCCATGGGCTGCAGGGGAATCTCTGCTCTGGCACCTGGAAAGCACCTCCTCTCCCTCCTCTTCATCAACCTTTGGGGTCTGCAGGGCTGTTTCTTTCACATGTTCTCATTCCTCTCTCTGGCTGCTGTTGTGCAGCTTTTTTTTTTCTCCTTTGTAAATATGTTATCACAGAGGTGCTACCGCTGTCACTGATGGGCTCAGCCTTGGTCAGCGATGAGTCTGTCTTGGAGCCAGCTGGCATTGGCTGTGTTGGACATGGGGGAAGCTTCTAGCAACTTCTCACAGAAGCCAGCCCTGCAACCCCCGCTGCTACCAAAAGCTTTCCATTCAAACTCAATACAAGTGGAAAAAACAGAAAGTTGGTTTTTACCTAGTGACAGTCTCATCACTAAACTAAACTGAGAACTGGAGAAAAGATGGTAAAAGATAATCCTGTACCAGCTGAAGAATGGTCTATAATCCTTACTTCTTACACTTCCTCTTTCTTCATTGGTTCACTCTCACAGGAAACAAAACCAAAAAAACCCCACCAAACACAGCATATAATATATTTTAGATCTAATGTATTTTAGATATTTGCCCAACGGCAACATTTTTCTTTTACTATGCTATGCCCCTTACATAACGGAGTGCAGAAGTTTGACAAGCATAGATCTCCAGAAGATCAAATGTAAAAGAAAATTACATGGGACCTAGCAAAATAACACTACAACTAAAAGAAAAGCAACCAAGGCAAATGCAGTGACCATTGCCTACGTATCTGAAGTCTGAAAGGATCTACAAGTGATAACTGAAACAGAGAGGCATACTAAATCATTATTGTTCTGGGTTTGGGTGGGATAGAGTTAGTTTTCTTCATAGTGGTCTTTATGGTGGTGTGTTTTAGAATGGTGACCAACTCCATGTTGGTAACACACCAATGTTCTAACTATTCCTGAACATGCCTTACACACATGATCATGGCCTTTTCTTTCTCATTCTGTCCTCAACACAGCAAGGAGGCTGGGGGTGCACAAGAGTTTGGGAGGGGACACAGCCAGGACAGCTGACCTCAGCTGGCCAAAGAAATACTATATAATGTCACGCTCAGCAATAAAACTAGGTGTGTGGGGAGGAGTTTTCTGCAAGGTAGCTGTTGCTTGGCGTGTCATGGTGCTGACTGATTGCCTTTGCATCACTTGTTTTTTGTTGTCCCCCGTCCTGTTTTGTTTTTTTTTCCCCCAATTCACTTAAACTGTCTTCATCTTCAAGCTTTTTTCTCACTTCTGCCCTTCTGATTCTCTCCCCCATCCTGATGAGGGGGGAGTAAGCAAGTGCCTGGGTGAAGACTTGTGTGAAGGCTTAGCTGCTGGCTGTGGTCAACCCACCACAATTACTTAGTGACAACACATAATTTTCATAAAGGGGAAAAAAAAAAAAGCTTGAAAGGAAAAAAAAAAACCAACTTGTTCCCTCTCTAATTTCTGTCTCACTTCAAGTTTTGACTCTTCCCTCAATTGTCTCTTCTCTCTATATATGAGAGATGCATTAAAGAATTTAACACACTTGGTTTTTTTAAGCTACTGTCACACCCTGGGCTAAAAGTATCAAGCATCTTTGTAGTAGAAACATGGAAAAAAATTGTTTTGAAAAATCCAACCACAATCCAACTAAAGAGGTAATTAAATGCATACAGTAATATTGAATAATTGTATCTTTCATCTGTGAGTTTATTAATCTTACCTCCATTGCATAGTTCTGGAAAATGCTGGATAAACTAGTATTATGTGAAGAGCTGTGCTCTGACTTCTCAGAATCTAGGACTTTCATACTTCTTGGGAATGAAACTTCACCTGTACAGAAAAAGTTGTTTGGGTCTTGTATTCAAGGAGAGAGCAATTCATCCATTCCCAAAGAAAGTAATTTCTGTTCGACCAAGACAAGAATTGTACCAGGACATCGCTAAAGATATGTGTAGCTCTGTAACTTCACTGATATTATAATTAAATATAGATAAATAGCATTTTTGTGATTAACATTTCAAAGTTATTTTTGTCTAGCCCAATATATCACAGACTGGTAAAAGAAAAAAAAGCATCAGTGAATAAAATCTGAAGATACAAAGAAAGAATAAAGAAAGGCAAAGAACACTAAGATTGCCAATATATATATATATTCTAAAAAGTTGTTCAAGATTTCTTGAATGATACATCCATATGTAAATAGCAAACAGAAGGATAGTACCAGGTGAGACACATGATACGAAATATGCCATTACAGTGCTTAAGTTTTGCCTGGCTAATACTGGAGTAAAACAAATAATCTTTCTTTGGTAAGGCTGGGTTTTAGGGTTATAAGCTTTGCCCAGGAGAAGGGGAAAGGACTTTGAATGTATTTTCCAGAAGGAAATGGTTAGAATCAGTTTTAGGAAGCAAAACTATCAGCGTTACTTGCTCTGACAAGCCCAGTCAAACTTCCCTACACAAAAAATCACCACCACAGTGCCCTCATCATGAAGAAGACTCCTCTGCTTCTTCAGCTAAAGTTTATGTTTGTGAACTAATTTTACCTATCCTGTTGATGGCTGCCACTCTTTATAGTTAGTTCTTATAACCCTCCTAACTGGAACTAGGAGGTATCTCATCAAGATTTTGCTAGACAGGGCCAGCTTATGTTCAGTCTGCAAGATAGCTCTTCTTCTCTTGATGCAGATGGCTTTATGATATTTGCATCATTAAAGTACTGCAAAGAGAGCTAAACCAAACCCCTAGCTGGATCAGCAACACATCTTTTTTTCAAAATAAGAATCAAATCTAACTGAATCAAATCTGAACTCAAAATGATTAGATTTACTTCATCTAGTTTTAGAACTGGGGTGAGGGGAGAAGGACAATTTAGCAATAGGCATATATTCATCAATTATTTACCTCCACAGCTTCAAATCAAGTATGCATCCAATACCTCCTATTCCACAGTAAAGCTGATGCATTTTTTTTGTGTGTTGCTTTGGGTTTTTTGTGGGTTTGGGGTTGGGGGGTTGGTTTCTTTTGTTTGTTTTCAGTTTGGTCCCCCCCTGCCAAAAGAGCTGCCTCTGTTAGTTATGCAACTATTTGCAGTTTTTGAACACCGCTTTACTTTTCTGTACTAATATTTCAAGAACTTTCAGGGTATTATGACTTTACATGAATGAGCAGGTGTTCCTGGCTATAACTAGTTAGGAACCTTCTTATCACATACACAGAGGAAGTATTTTCACAATTAAATCCCTGTATTTTGTATCAACTTTTTATATATTCAACAGAGAGGAGAATTAGCTATTTGCTACTGCAAAAGAAGAGTATAGAATACAAGTACAAATTTGCTTGTACTTATCTTAAGGGCTTGAAATAATTTCAGACTACCATAGCTTCCATTGTTGCGAATTATTTCACACAGTTGTTTGGTTTTTATATTATAAACAAGTTATGAGGGGGAAACAAACAAAAAAAATCTCACCTGCACTGTAATGTTGTCTTCCTGCATCTCCACTGCTACTGCTACTGCCTAGACTAGTAGTGCTTTGTGCAAGCTCATTCGTAATTAGCCCCGGGACACCAGTTCTTGATGACAGATTATCTCCTAAAATATTATCTTCAAAACCAGCAGGGAAGTTAAAGTCAGCTCGATTGTTTTCTTCCTTTAATACAAGAAGAAAAAAATTAGTATGTTTGAGTACTCCCAGATTCATTACTTGACCTCCATCTTTATCCTAATAAATAAATAGTAGCAGATTAAGATGAAATCCTGTTGTAAAAATTTATTAGACAACCCCAAAAAGAGCAGCTATTAGACAAACCGGAAGGATAGGGGAAAAATGAAAGGCTTTAGCAGTGAAAATACTTAGCTGAGGATCATACTGAGTGACAAAGCAACAGGGATGTAAACTTCTTCACTACAGGAGAAAGAGGAAAAATGATGCAAGTAATTGTGATCTGGCAGTCATTACACAAAATGAAGGAATTATCAGAAAAAAGGACCGAGTTGAAGTCATATTTTCAGAATTGAAGACGGGAATGAAACATACCAGCTGAAATAATGTAGCAATAACACAGTCACTAAGACACAGGATGTGACAAAGTATAATTATTAGGATATTAAAAAAGGGAAGTTGCAGAAATTAAAGAGGAGAGAATGAAAAGATCCTTGAAGGAAATGAAAATAAGTCCCATTAAGGAGATTATGATGTGCCATTAAACAAAATTCTATAGAATAGATCAGTATACTAGAAAGGCACACAGGAAAACCTAGGTCACAGCAAAAGAACTCAGGAAAGAAAGCAAATCAGTGAGTTTTCACTGTCATAGGCAAAATCTGGTTTAAAAAAAATAAGAAAACCCTTTTTTTTTTATTTAATAGGAAGGACCCTATTAGTAACATCAGTTAAATTTGTTTCATGTATAAATAAAGCCAGACAGCTATCTTCCCCTTTCCCACCTTTTATGGTGGTTGGGGAAAGGAGGGATAATTTGAAAAAGGAAACAAGAAGCTATCTTAACAGCCTGAAGAGAGGAGACAAAAGATCCTTAAAGCCAAACACCAGATCAAGGGGTGAACTGGATCAAGCAGAGGCCTTTCTAAGAGAGAAAACTATGTGGAGGCACAATAAAAAGACTTATATGGAAAGGGGGAAGTTATAATACTCATCCCTCCATCTCCTCGTTCATTCATGCCATTATACTCTGAAATGTTTTACTCTGAAAAAGACTCTGTTAATCAAGTGTGCTCACACTAGAACCATAACATTTAGTTTCCAAATTCCTGATGAGTGAATTTACTAGATCTCAGGCTGTCCTTTACTACTTTCAACTTTAATCCTCACCAACCCAGCTTCTTAGGTTTGTGATTTGTTTTCACAACCTTTTCTTAATTTTTTAAAATAGGACAGGCAGTATGATATCATTTAAGATGACATAATTTTGTTTACTAGAGTTTCTTGGTGCAGTTTCTTTAAACATAAATAAATAGATAAATAAATAAATGGGAGGGAATGTTGAGAACACAAAGTCAAAGTTTAAATTTACTGCACCAAGACCATTTAATTTGCTTCTGTCTGAAAAGTGGCTTTTAATGACAGAGAAAAACTCCACCACACATAAAATACAATCTTCTGAACACGGAAGTTACCCCTCTAAGTTTGTCTCCCAAAATTTTTCATATTGAAAAACACTTGCCTCATCATCTGAATAACTATATGCTGAAGTTACAACTCCCCACATCTTACTGGCCACATTGGCAGCCTGCTTCATGCCTGATTTCAGAACATCCATTTTTGGTCCAGACAGTATATTGTCTAACTTCAGATTGGATAAAGTTGTTACAACAGATCCTAATGAGCCATGTGGAGAAGAACGACCCAGTCCTGTCAAAGATGAAGACCGCTCCTTTTGAACTCGTGGATGGGTTTGTTGCTTTGGTCGTCCAGTGAATGTTTTGGATCTGGAGACAGATGGACTTCTCCGATTTTCATAAGACTTGGGGGATGGCAGGACAGGATCCAAAGGCAGGCTTGACCTCCTTTCTTGGGAGTGACCAAGTGTACCAGAGGCTTCTGTTTCCCTTTCTGGCTTGTGCAGTTCCATGCTGGGAAACTTACTACCCAACGGGTTCTTCAGATTCATATAGCTCTCTATTTCATCTGCCAAATTACGTGCTGCAACTGGTGACACCAACTTTTCCTCAGGTTCCGGATGCCTTGGTTGCATGCTGTCAGTAGCCAGCAAAGATAAAGGGTCCAAGCCTACTTCAACATCTTCCCTTTCAATAGGCTTAACCACTCCATAAAAGCTATTCCTTTTAGTAGTTGCATCTTTGGATTCTGGTTTCCGTTTTTTTGACTCAGCTGACTGTTCAAGGTTCATGTCTTCCACGGTGGTCATGTTTTCATCTCCTCCATTCTCAAGATGTTCCTGCCCTTCCCCAGGTTCTTCCAGCACCGGTGAAGACCTATGCTCCAATTCCCAATCACTCTCAGTCACACAACTCCAAGTGCCACTTACGCCAGAAACCTGCTGGTCAACAATACTTTCAAAGCTGTGGGATTTATTCAAATGACACGGTGAAGTTTTGGACCCAGATAAAGCTGCTGTTAGAATCTTGGCATCTGCTCCCATCATTATTGCTATTTCTTTAGAATGCAAGTCCAAGCTGCCTTTTTTCAGCAGCATTCCTGCTCTGCTTTCACTGCTGAAACTGCAGCTTCTCTCTGAAAACAGTTTCTGCCTCTTCTGTCCTTTTTCACTTGTTTTCTTAGGAGAAACATCACCAAAGACTACATCTTCAACTGAATCCTGAGTTATGAACAGTGGGCTGGAACCTGCTTCTAAAAGAGAAAAGGCATTAATATGGTACCCATAGACATCAAAAATGTTTATTTCCTGAAATCATGTGAAATCTCCTTATCTCATCGGTGAGAAGACTGGGAGCACCACAATCTCAAGTTATCCATTAAGAATTACACTAGTATTAACAAGTTATTTTACTGGCTGCAAAGGCATCCTGCAGATCAAAAGGCATCTACTATCTACTCTTTTACTCCTTGAAGTCAAAGCCTTTTATGGCTTCTACCTCCTTTCCCTGTGCTAACACCAGGAGAGAGTAGGTACTACATCCATGAAGTAAAGGAAAGTAGAATTATAAGTAAAGATTGCTCTATTTTTTTTTTTTCCAGAGCTATATTCACAGATCTATACATCAAACTCCGTAATTCATTCTGGTTCTGAAAAAAACCTACCGTGTGTGTCTGAACAACACAGAAGCATTACTTTGTTTATGACACAGTCATATTTAGAGAAAGCTGATTAAATTTAGCATGTGGAAGATATAAACTAATCTTACAAATATTCCCATTCCTTAGGGGAATTGGGAATATTTATTGCCTAGAAAGCTTTGTTAGCGAGGCAAAAACCTCCATAAGTATGAGAATTCTACTATATTAGGATCCCAACAGAGGACAGCCAAGGACAGGCACAAAGGCAGAAAAACCAGTAAGCCCCAAGATTTGGCTTTTATATAGCCATAAGTCTTCCTCAAGCTCCAGATATGTAAACAAATTTTGTATGGCACAAAGTCAACATGCATTGTTCCCAGGTTATACATTGGCAATGTAAGCCACAGGAATAGAGACTTGTCCAAGGTCAGCAGAGTTTAGGTGACAAAATCAAGACTAGAGACCCTAATTTTCTTGAGTTTCTAATACATTACTGAAAGACTCTCAGTGCGGGAAAGGGAAAATCTTCATTTCAATCTACTCAACACTGACTGTCAACCTTAGAATCCACAGGTTGCTTCTAAGCCACCTTCAAAGGATAACGGTAGAAAGCAAATGTGTGAGATTATTTGCACCTCAGATAGAAGTTTTGTTTCTTTTCATAGCATGAAAAAGATTGCAAAACACTACAGCACAATAAGATCAGGACTTTAGCAAGCTCTGCTTCACCCAATGACTCACCACCACTGCTCTTCCTTCCACTGCTATCAAAAATGCCAGATGGAACTTTCACAATGCTGTTACCCCAAGAAGGTGGGTCCGTTGGACTATGTGTTTCTATATTCAGCTGTTGCTTTTCATCAGATTTCTCAGTACAAACCTCTACAAGAAAAAGAATGAGAACTTCAGTTAATTTAATTAAATAATTTAATTTGCACTGTTACGGAAAATACAAACTCAAATACTGTTCCCTTAGGTAATTACAACCTAAAGGATCAGTCCTTACTAGGTACTGAGCATTTCCTGGAAATAATACCCAGACAGATGACAGTAGACAGTATTATGCAGAGCACTTAGCTGTTCACAAGTTTAGAGCATATGCCAACTTCTTCCCTTGCTATTTTTTCAACTAACAAAAGTAGAGCAGGAACAGCAGTTCTAAGATTTTCATGCAGGGCTATTTGTCTAATGACAGTTTTAGAAGTCCTAACTCCCATTAAGGATCTAGTAACACAGACATGAAACAGATTCAGTAGTGAGAAGGACAAAATACAGAGAAACTAAGGGCAAAATCTGGACAGAATACAGGAGATGACCACATTTTCTACAGCTGGGAAGAGTTTGTAGGAAAAAGTAGTGCCTTTTATTAGGTCAACTGGTACAGCTAAAAAAATGGCCATGTTTTCAAATAAACAAATTAGAGGAATGGAATACAAAATACTGTGTGCCCCAGCACTTGTCCAATTTTTCCATCTATATTAATTAGTCTAATAAAGGGCTATTTCTACCTATACATATTCCACTGCTATTATCTAGGGCACAGAAGTAGTCCACCAGATTTCACACAGTCGTATTTTGACCTTGGCAACATTATGAGTTCAATACATCAAGTTATTTGTAGTAGTCTAATGCATGAAGCAGATTTATTACAAAAAGCCTTCATCGATGTAAACACGCATACTTAACCTCCTATTAGGTCTTCAGCTTTAGAAGAAATATCTTTCTCTACTTGTGTTTCAGTTGCATGAAGACTATCTCCATCATCTCTTAAAAGTTCATCCTTTGACCCGTAGCCCTGGTCTGACTGACCACCTGTTCGAAGGAATACAAACACATGCCTCAGATTTGGTTTTCTTTCCTAAATTAGTTTTTCAATAAGAAAATAAAGGAACTGAAATTAATTTGTTTCACATTTTGTTTGTGAAGTTTATAGTAAGATCACCAAAATGCCTTATCTGTGCACAGATCTACTTGGTGAGACAATTAGGCTGTACAATCCAAATTTACTTTTCTAATTATTATATTAAATACAAATTATTCCCCAAGGAACACTACAGTGATTAACTACTTTTAACGCACTGTATCTCCTTTCATTCCTTTCCCTTCTTGTTAGCATGAAATATTTCATTGCTGGGCAAGTTAAATTCTCAAATGCATCTACAAAAGAAATTTAGACAAGTGCAACAGTAATTGAGCAAGCTTCTAACAATGACTACATCCCTGAAAAGAACTGTACCATAAACTGTGCTACATCTTCGTGCTATAGTGCAAAGTATAAAATTTAATAGAAAAAAAGTAAAAATCTGGACATTTTTAAAAAGTCTTGTTCCTCCACGATACCAGTTAAACTTGACAGCTGTAACTCATTCTTAAAAAAAACAAAAAACAAACCCAAACCAAAACCCAAACTAAACAGTTTACAGTAGTCCAAAAAGTCTGCTATAGGAAACAATCCAGAAAGACACTCTTTTCTTTGTTATTTTTACCTGAAGTGCTGCTGCATATGCAAAAGTACAAAAATACTATATGGGACACATCACACAGTGACATGTTAAACAGGATTATTTATATGCCTCAGAGTACCTGTTAGAATACATGACAGTATTTAAAAAGATCAAAGTGTAAGTAAGTTACTGAGTGTGAAAGGTTTTAGGAAGCTCCGTAAAACTTGAGTGACAGACATAATTTATCTACAATGTCATATACATATGACTGCTGTTTATTTTACCAGCAAAGAGGAAACATGTAAAAAAGGTTTAAAGTTAGAAGTTTGAGCAGCCATCAGTTATTACATTTGCCTACTATATGAAAAACCTTTTATACAGAAAAGTAAGTTCTGACATTCTTCAGTCCTTATTTTCTCCCTATCATCATTTCAACAATGTTAGTATCCCTGCTTTGCACAGAAGTGAAAACACCCTATCAATAAATGGGTGAATTACCTGCAGAAGTAACATTCAAGGGTAGAAATAATGCACACGTGCATCCAAGGCTTCACACCATATAAGTCTGCACCCCACACCATGATAGCCAAGGACAAATGCGGCACCCAAGAGACAGCAAAGAGCAAAAAGCAGAGCAACAAAGAGCAGAGAGAAGGGAAGTTCAGTAATCTAGGCAGGCATATCAGATGAAGCAAAGGAATAAGACTCAAAGTTCTCTTTACAGAAGGCCTCAAGACATTAAAAACATGAAGAGTGTGCAAGAACCATCTGTACATTAAGTTTTGAAGTACACACAGAAACGAAGTTTAGTTGAGACTGTGCAAAGGTAGGATGTAATCAGTACTATAGCAGATATGAAGAACCATGAATTTTGTCTTGCCATCTCAAGTGATTAACTTCTGTGCACTCTTTTTACTCCAGTTTGTCTGGAAGAGTGCACACCGAGTTTAAAGCATAGTTTTTCTCCAGCTTTTCACCTGTCTTTCCACTCCCAGCATGTCTCATAAAGGCTACAACAAGGTTCTGATAATGTCTATATTTATTTCCAAGTTTAGCAACTACTATGAAGAAGCTTCAATAGGGCCTTTAAAAGCATAGTTTACTATAACCAAACATAACATATTAATTCCAGGAATGCTGATTAGGCCTTTCTGGATTACCATCAAGGAGCAACATTCTAAAGTGTTAGCTTCTAATCACCTCAGCAACTTTCACTCCTTTCCTTTAATGCAGAGAAAGGTTTTACTCAAACAGTCATTGCTATAAAAAATTACAATATGCAAAAATTGAACAAACTCATATGTCAGAGGTGTCATACCTTTCTGAAGATTAGCACAAAAAGCAAGGTTCATGAGACCACAGCAAGACATTTATTTTAACATAACAGTACTTCTGCTACAGTTCACTCTAAACTAAAGAAGTAGCATGATCAGCGGTGAAGGAGTAATATTCAACAACAGTGTATTTCTTTGTCTTTATGTAGTTTAACTCCATGCTTCATTCTCTACAGCCTCAAGAGGGGAAGGTGGTGGTTGTGAAGGAGAAATCAACAGGAGACTAGAAAATTTAGCCTTTTGGGGGACTGTTAGTAGTGAAACCCAGCAGAATCTAGTACCTGTGCTAGAGTGATTATCAATGGAATCAAGCCTGACTAAGTCACTGACGAAGACAGTGTGCTCCCCACTGTTAGCATCATTAGAACTATCCACGCTACCATGGCTCACCATGTCCCCATCACTTCCACCCGTGGTACTCCGCAGAGCTAAAGACATGAACGAGAGCTGGTTAGTAAGAGAGGATTTAACTTTTCAGGTTTTTAATCAAATGTAACATCTTCAGACAACAGTAAATACTTTTGCTTGCACATATAAAATAAGGATATGAAATTCTAGCAAGAGAATTCAGACAATTAATTCTTCAGCGTGCGAAAGACATTCTAAGACTGTTTCAAGCATCAAGTTGGCAATTATCAATTTTTATACACTTAAGGAAAGATGTTCCACTTCTAAAAGCCACAATGTTAGCTGCAATCCCTCAGAAAGCATGTCATGCTCTTCTTCAGCAGAAATAAATCCATTTCAACTAACTTATTACCTGAAATCACAGGTACTTGTAGGCTCTGCGTTGATTTCTTTAAGCACTGCCTAAATTGTGCTGTGCCACGAACTACATTTCGTACCTTTGTCCACAGGAATATGCCACTGCGGTTACTGCTAGGCCAAGGAGACTCTAATACCGCCTACAGAAAGAGATATTGCAATAATAAAAACAGTAAGAAAGTTACACTAAGAAACACAGAACAGTGAGGAGCTTTTGTTTCCATACTCAAAAAAGGCATTTCCTGTCAACCATGGGAAGAAGGACAAATATTTGAGTTTTTATGAGCTGTTCCCTTTTATCCCACAGTTCTGGATACAATAGCTGAGTAACAACAAACACTGGATCAAGATTTCTTTAAGTAAACAAGGTGGGTTTTATTCTTATTTATATACTTCGGTAGCAACAAAAGACCATAGTAGCACCTCTTTTCCTATTACATTACATAGTTTACTTTACTAAGAAGTTTCATCAACATACTACAGGAACTTGGAAGCAAGGAAAAGAGGGGGAGGCTATTTCAACTAGCCTAATTCCAGTCTTCACCCATCCAAAGGATCCTGCTACCTTAAAGGATACACCTAGGAACAGACAGTTTTGACATGGAAGCTCTAGAATCATAGAATCATAGAATCATTTAGGTTGGAAAAGACCTTCAAGATCATCGAGTCCAACCATTAACCATGCCCACTAAACCATGTCCTGAAGTACCCTGTCCACTCGCTTTTTGAATATCTCCAGGGATGGTGACTCAACCACTTCCCTGGGCAGCCCATTCCAATGTTTGACAACCACCTCAGTAAAAAAATTTTTCCTAATATCTAACCTAAATCTCCCTTGCCTCAACTTGAGGCCATTTCCTCTCGTCCTGTCTCTAGCCACCTGACAGAAGAGACCAACACCCACCTCACTACAACCCCCTTTCAGGCAGTTGTAGAGAGCGATAAGGTCTCCCCTCAGCCTTCTCTTCTCCAGGCTAAACGACCCCAGTTCCCTCAGCTGCTCCTCATAAGACTTGTGCTCCAGGCCCCTCACCAACTTGGTTGCCCTTCTCTGGACATGCTCCAGCACCTCAATGTCTCTCCTGTAGTGAGGAGCCCAAAACTGAACACAGGACTCAAGGTGCGGCCTCACCAGTGCTGAGTACAGGGGGACAATCACCTCCCTGCTCCTGCTGGCCACACTATTTCTGATACAGGCCAGGATGCCGTTGGCCTTCTTGGCCACCTGGGCACACTGCTGGCTCATATTCAGCCGGCTGTCAACCAGCACTCCCAGGACTTTTTCTGCCAGGCAGCTTTCCAGCCACTCTTCCTCACTAGACAGGTTCCAAAACCTGGAAACGGAAACACTATAAATGTGTATTTCAACAGAATTTTTGGTTAGCCAAACAGCACAGGAATCTACACTTAACAGTGTACAACCATACAGTGTAGATCCAGTGAACCATAAGCATGTCCAAAATGATTGCTTGCTCAACAGAATCAGCAAATCCAAGTGAAGAGCTGGAAGAAACAATCTTCAAAACATGCTACAGGACAACAGGAGTGACAACAGCAAGACAGACATTGGTCCAGTATCCCTTGTCAACACTTCTCTTACCTTATTGTAATAACCATAGGTGATGGCATTTGGCTGTATTCCAGCATTTTTCATTTCAAAGAGGACTCTCACGGCCTGAACAGGCTGACCCCACAGTCCACAGAGCTGCATTACAACTCTGTAGCAGACCTGACAAGATACAGAAATGCATAAATGGACTGATGACAAGGATTTTGAAACAGCTTCAGCTCTTCCCCGATTTTCAACTTTTACACATGTAAAAGGGAGAGCATGTGAGAGCAGCTATTCAGTACCTGATACTCAACAGCCAGAAGAGGGAGCAAAAATTAAACAGGAAATCGCACGAGCTGAAATAACATCAGCAGTCACATTGTTGAGAATGCTGAATTTTTTTCCACTTGGCTCTTCTGTTTGCAAAATAAACGAGGGAAGGAAACGCCCACACAAAAAGCAGGATAACTTGCTGCTGTGTGCCTGTGGATACTACTGGAAGAATGGCATGCTGCACACAAACCCATTATTCCTTCTGTTCAGTAACTGCAAAGCATTAATTCAAAGTGCATTTAAAAAATAGGGATATTCAAGAACTTCCTGCTTGAAGAAGTCTGGGAGAAGTCTAGCAACACTAAGTTGTAATACTTGACCAAGCTGACACTACACTGGTGACAAAAAAGGAAATTAATTTCCAGTTGCCCTAGTTAAGCAGACTTCTTTAAGATCATGTCAAGGTGGCTTCAAAACAGGTGAAACTGTAAATATGCTTAACCTGGTGGTGGCGGTGAAACACACTATATTTGGACCTTGTCTTCTATTCCATGTTCATGGTAATGTTTTTTTATTCGCACTTGCCTCATCTAGTGGTTCCACATCAGTTTTCCTCATTTTAATTAGAACATCGTATGCCTGTTGCAGTGCTTTGACCTTGGGATGTGCAACTCTGATGTACGCTGGCAGACAAATAAACCATAGGCTGTAACTATGACTGAAGAGACACTTAGCCCATTGTGGGGGGCTTACATAATACTTCTTGGCTAATTTATGAGCTGTTTTTATCTCCTGTAAGGGTGAGACAAAACAAAAAAGCAGACAAAAGATGTAACATCCTGAATCTAGAAGCCATTACTAACTCAGATACAGGCTTCTTAAAAGTAAGCATTTAATAATAACAGACAACATTCAGCTGAAGCTCCTTTCTTACCACTCTCTTATTAAGGCTCTCTGCAAGCAAAAACTAGCATCACAATTAATCCTCTTCTTTTTTCTCCCCCATTCAAGTATTAATTTTAATTTCCTTTTGTTCTATATTACACTCTAAAGCTTAAAAATGGGTTTGCCAGTAAACTGTAATCTCAGATGCTAATTTATTTGTTGCCTACTTTCTTTTGCAAGTGTTGATCTCAGTAGTTACAAAGACTGAACCTCTAACAACATTAACTTACAGAATAAATAGGTAGTGGCAATTTTACCAAAAAACTTCATATCTTTCAGTGTTCACATACTGATTATGTAAGACTCATCTGACCTGTTTTGTCCTCTTTGCCATGAGTGCTGGACTATTTGAAATGCTGCTTCCAGCTGGGTGTCTGCTGAAGGAGAGCTTGAGCTCCTGTGGCCTGTCAAAGAGCTTGAAATCTAGTCGTGGGAAGTTTTTATAGCTATACAGATGATTAAAAAAAACAGAAAATAAAAGATTTCACATACCTGCTCATAGCAGGAAAGCCATACAAAGACAACTTGCGTGCAAGGAACTGACAAACAGGAGAATAAAGAACCAGGGGGAAAAAAAAATAAAAAAAAAAGGAAAGAAGATAGCGAGATCCTTTTAGTCTTATTCACACAGGTATCACAAGAAGATGCCTTGGACATTAAATCTCCATAGACAATGGAAACAAGAACCAGACTGCCATCCATGTCATGAAGGTCAGGGAAGCACAGATGATAATTAACAAGGACAACAGTTGGAAACAGAACCTTTGCGACCTCCAAGAGAGACAGGAAGAAAAAAAGTCATACCCAGAGTGTCTGAAACTCCACTCTTCCTGCACAGGGTTGAAAAACACTGAATGAAAGAAGTCTGAAAAGTGGAGTGGGTATTTTGTTCTTTTGGTTCATCAGCTGCAGATCAATAGTACTGGGCAGATCCATTACCCACCCCCTGTCATTCCCACTATGGAACAAAATACACGTAAGTGGCTCAAACAGGAAGAAAGAAACTGAATACAGGAAGAAAAAAGTATTACTATAAAGTTGGCAAGAAGTTACTGAAAAATTGAAACCAAAATCCTCAAGCCCTCAAACATACACACACAAAAAACACTGGCTTCTAGAGCTTCAGAAACTTACCAGAATCCAGGCAGTTCATATCTTTATAAAGATTCTTCTGAACATTATATTAAGGCAAGTCTTGCACCAAGATGGAACATCTGCCCTGCTTAACATCATAAGCATTCTAGTTTCATTACATGTGGCTGTTTAACTTGTACCTGTATTTTGGCACTCGCTCCTGTCCGTCATCAGCGGGAGGTTCTGGTGGCATTATGAACACTGTGTGTTCACTTTTTTGTGACTCATCAAGCTCAATCAACCGTGCATCTTCAACAGAATCTACATCAACCTGAAAACAGAGTTTTTACTCTAAGTACAGAGTTTGGCTTTGGGATAAAATGTCCTTTTTAACATTAATTATTTTAGTATATGTAAAAATATACTTACTATGTACTGTATTTGATTATATATATAATATATAAAATAAATTAACTTTGTTCTAATAACTCAAATATCAAGCCCACAGCCTTGTCTTTCCATTTTTATTTCACGATCAGATATCCCTAAACATTTTGAAGGACAATGTACCTTTTCTCCTTTTTCTGTTCCTTTATCTGGAAAAAGCTGGGAAAAGAGAAAAAAAAATTAGTTCCTTCTCAACTAAAAAAAAATCCTAAATAATTCTATTAAAGCTGTGTCATTTACTGTAATATTAATTAGGAAACACTAAATTTTCATACTACTGTAGAAGCAATTAATCTTTTCTTCAAATAATTCCTTTGCTGAAAGTAAGAAAATGCAGTAATCGGCATGCTTTCAACCTGTTGACATTAGCTACTAAATACAAAATCCTAAATCTATCAAAGGAAAGTGCTTTCATTTAGTTTAATTGAAAGAAATTGCTGTTTTGCAGATATTTTCTGCAAAATTCTGACAATTTAAGTATGCAACACATTAACAACCTGCAATAATATCAAATTATTAACAATATTAAACAAAGAATACTCTAGATGCATACTGTAGATGCATACCCCCCATCCTCAGCAGAAGGAAAAATAATGGCAAAAAACCTTTTAAACACTTATTTTGTGGTCTGTTTACAAGTGATAATTTGATTGGAATCAATATTGAATCAAAGACTCAGTCTATAAGAACTTGGTATGAAAATGAAGGTTCTGTCCAGAACAAATCATATATATACACCTCAAAAAAACCCCATATAATTCTTTAGCTCCTAGTTTTTATATTGTGAACTTGGCATTTTACAGATGAAGCTATAAGCTCAATAACCCATCTAGACTAGAACCATGCTGAAGAGACTTTGCTTCAAAAAACAAGAAGGGGTTACAGCAATCTTTCTCATATAAAATACATGCAATGAAAGGGGATCTTATCTACATAAATGAGATTTGACCACAAGTGGAGCACTAGGCATGTTTTTGTGTTTTAAGTTTAAATTGTGTGAAAAAGAGCAACAATGCCGATGAGCACTGGTAGGTAATTCCACATTAGAGGGAGGGTGATTAACATTTAAAGGGAAGACATGGATGGCATTGTGCTAAAGTGTCAGCTACTGTTATTTCTCACATTATCTTATAGCTTGACATCCTACAGGGCTTTAATAAAAGTTTCCTCCATCAACACAGACAATGATGACCATGCAAGAAGATGAAGGAAGAAAATGACTCAGAAATAACCACCAAGAATGCCAAACCCTCAAAACACTTGCTTGCAGAGAGTACCTACCTTTACAACTAAAAACCAGGACAATAACACAAAATGAACAGAAGCATATAATATAATAGTACTGCTACATATTTTTCACCTTTTCTATGCAGTCATCAAAAAATGCCAAGCCAGTATCCTTGTCACTCACAAAACTGCACTCTTCAATAAAGCGGCTGAATATCTGCGTTTTGGTGAGATGTGTGTAGAACTTTGTATAGGCACGGTCTCTGCTTTTTAAAAATCCTGGTTATAAAAAGGAACACACAACTAAATACCAGTTACGATTTCCAGAAGAAGTTAACATATGAAGTGTCAACATAAAATATTTAAAGTGCTATTACATAAAGTATTGGCTTCATCAATAAAAACAACTATTTATCACCACTTGCATTCGGAAGATTAAAATGACAGCTTTTTTTAAAATAATTATTTTTCACCATAGTTAACAATGCTTGGCAAGCAATCATCCCTATGTAATCCACTCACTGTGTTTGTTGACTTTTTGTGCAAGAAAAAGATGATGACCTCATATAAAAGCAGAAATATCTAACAGTTAAAACAATACAAAAGTAAAAAATACGTTTGTTATCCTAAGAGGTGATGGGCCTGAAAATATTTAAGACTTTCCAAACCTCTGACTAAAAAATCTCTAATCAAATCTCTCTGCCAGTGACTAAAAAAATCCAACCCCAACCAAAAAAAAACCCAACCCAAAACATCACCACCACATACAAAACAAAATACCTGTGACATTTTATCTAGCATTCAGCCCATGAACAGATCTGAAAAGTTAAGGTGATAACATGAGGAAAACAAAATGACGTTTGCTGACTATTGTTTTGTTATGTTTCTAATCTCTGCCCTGTTCTCTATTATCTTCCCATTTATATCAAGAACATTACTTTGTTCTTCATTACTGGGCTTCTGGCATTTTTGCTCTGTACAAATTGAGAAATATTCTTTCACTCCCAAGAGCTGCCCTTATGGAATACACCATGCAGAGACTACATCATGCTACTGAAAGACAGCCTTTCTAATACCAGAGCCACTGCAAAATCGCAGTTCTTTGTGCATATATCAGTGTTCTAATCAACTTTGAATAGTTTAACTTTATACAATTGCAATTTTAAATATTGCCAAGAATTGTACAACCAAAGGGAACTTTGACTTTTTAAAGTTAAGCAACTCCTCAACCCTAAAGTTGTAACACTGCCAATGCTATCAGCAGCTGGTTTGCCTCACCCTCACCTTGATGATCAAACAAGGAATCAGCAGCAGTTGCTTTATTTGAAGGTGCTTGCGTGATTGGCTTGAGGAATGTTCTATAACCCTTTAAAATAGATGCCATGAAACGGAGAAAAGCTTCCTGGATCTCCATCTCAAGTTCTATCATCTTCTTCTGCCAGGAAAAATCTGCCTCAATAGGAGTCATCTCCACTGCAGAGCCTTCTTGAGTTTTCCTGTGAACTAGCAATGAGCAACATATACAATCCTATATTAAAATTCAGTGCATTCAAACAGGTAACTTTTGCAAGATGCTGATGATGGATTTTTCTTTTTTCTACTTGCCCAAATTCAGAAGTGACAAATGCTAGAAATCCTATGATTGTTTTCCAATTGATGTGGCCCATATAAAAGACAGGTTACCTCAGGAGTTGATTATGTGTTTTTCTAACTCATCCGGTCCTCTGGGACATGAACCAATGAGGAGGATCTCAGTTGAGTTAATGTTACCACACACCCAACTGAATGTAGTCTTTCAGTAACAGATCAACACAAAGGAGCATGTTTTCCCTGTTCTGAAGATTGCACATCTAGAAAGAAAGGGCCTAAAACTATTTTTCTAATAAAAATTCTAACATTTTAATACACCAAAGGGTAGAAACAAGTAGATGACATTCAGAGTTTACTCTTGCACTCTTGAAAAAACAGTAGCAGGTACTGCTGGAAATTATAGTTCCACAATTTCCATTATAACAAAAATATCAATTATTGTAATATAAATATTTCTATATAAATATAAATAAATAACATATCTATTATAGTATTGCCAAAATAGAAAAACTATGTATCTATCAAAGATCACTAGTTCTGGTCAAGTTAAAACTAGGCAGTAGTTCTGTATCAGGTAGACTGCATGACATTCCCTGCTGATAAAACCAAAAGAAAAGTTGAAGATTTCTAACCTCATATATATGAAGTAAAGGCTATCTGCAAACAAATTATAGAAAATTGAGGCAAGAAAATCTACCTGTTAATGCACTTTTCTGTTTTGGTAACTTACAAATTTTATGTATCTTGTATACCTATGAGGCTATCATTGTCTCCTTCTCCATAATGATGCAACCTAACATACTCTGAAACAGCTTACATTAAAGAGCCTGTCTACAGTCAGAAAGAAGCAATACCTGAGAACTGTTAGGTCAGCTACAACTTTGCTCTTACCTGTCTAAGTCATTAGGCTGAAGATGGTCAGTTTTTCTTTTTCTTTTGACAAAATACTTTGTCAAACTATAGTTACTTGATTATTTTTGTAGAATAGTCATTATCTGAAATATTCCACAGTATCGGCACAATAGCTAAGATATTCAACATTATTTTACTCATATCCCCGTTTCCTCTATTATTTTTGATCAGAACTGTGAATATTGTTCTAGGTTGAGATCCAAACGTGTTTTAGCTGAATCTTTGTTTAAATATAATTTAATCATGAGTAAACACTAAAAAAAAGCCTAAATTTTGAGAAGTCACACCAAAGAAAATAAAAGTCTAAAAAAATAATTCACACTACATATGATAGAATTAAGTCCTTACATTTATATACTAACACACCTAAGAGTCTTAAATTATAGTATGAGAAAATTTAGTAGTTTTCTTTGAATATTTACTTTCCCTGCTTTAGGCAGTTTTTGTTCTTACCCCTTCCCATTTTATTTTATATATTTCACCTGCTGCCAGCTGTGGGTGCAGTTTCTTTAAGGTGCTGAGCAAACTTTTACAAGGCTTCTTAGGAAACTGCTTCCAGTTGGTGCTCTTCTTATCATCTGATCTAAAACACAGGGGAGGGAAAAAAGGATATATAAAATACAGACCATATAAAAAAAGAATAGCTTCCACAGCCCTAAGTTGCTTCATTTTCAGAACGTAGTGACTAAAAAAAAGAAATTGTTTTGAATAGAAAGAAATCTTGTTACTGTCCATATTTGTCAAAATAAAAAAATGGAGTGACATAACTCAGAATTTCATTTCTTCAGTTACGAGTAGAATTTTCTCCAGTCTGTAAGAAGGATCTGCATTAAGATTTGATTTAGACTTTTTAGTTGAAGTTTCACTTTTAGTTGAAGTTTCACTTAGCTGATGTCCCTTTCAGAATTTTATCAGCCTTTCAGTCTAATTTAAGCACACTAATCTGTATGTGATTACTATGCAAAGTCTACACTACCTTAAACCTGCCATACTGCTACGGATACAAATAAAGGCAGTTCAGAATACAACATGAACTTGTTCCAGCAAAATGTTGGAAGACCAGTCTGGTAGCTTTATGGTCATTTGGTACACGGTAACATGTCTATGGCAACACAGTTCCAGCTTCAACCACAGGCTAGCAGGGACTAGGAAGACTGGCAGTTCAGTTCACAGTTTGGAAATTACGTGGTTGATTAAGCAGTGGGGTAAATTGGCCTAAAGGGATGCTCATCTTTGTTAGAAGGACAATGGGTACAATGCCAGACCTTGTTTAAGCAGTTAGATATAAAGAGAGAGAGTAGGGAGCAAATCCTGAGAACTCCTACGCCTCTTTCTGGAAGGCAGAAGGTGGGGGACAATTGCCATAACAGAGAGTACAGCAAACCTTGTGGCCAAAAGATCTAATCAGTTATTACTATCCGAGTTGATGCTGTCAATGCCTGTTTTGCACTTTGCATCACAGTGAAATATTTGTTCAATTATTATTTGCTCAACTGGCACCGACACAGAACTATCTTAGAAAGGAAGCCAAAGTTTCAGGAGTTAAAGAAAAGATGCACTCATATGAATGCCTTTGCCCATTTTTTTCCCCACCATAATGGCATGCCTATAAACAATATAAGCAGTACTGTTCCAAAAATGCAAGGAAAAAAATGTTGCTATAAAAATAAAACAAACTCTCAAATCTTTGCCCTAAAAAGGCTACTTTCCTTAACCAGCTTTCAGTGTTACTTTCACAGAGATAGTTGAAAACATCCAAAAAAAGGCATTAAGGAAGCTACTGAATGAATAAAAGGCCTTCAGTATTTTTTGGCAGTAAATAAATCTCCAGTCTATCATAAGGAAGATAGCAGCAAACTTGCTCTAAAAAGACACTAGACAGACAGACTGATATACTAGAAAATACTGAATTTTTCAAATGTTATGCTTCTAGTACACAGTCTGTCAAAGTAAGCAACAGTGCTGTTAAATGCTTTTAAAAAAGCAGCACTGCCACAGAAATAAAGAGAGGCAGAAACAGATGTTGATAAAATAAAATGGAATATCAACCTTTACTCACTAATAACATGGTATTTTAGAATTCTGTATGATCTTCAACACAAAGGGCTTTATTTCATTTTACCTACACATCTCCAAGACTGAAAAATATCCTCATTTCCAGGTTTAAAAAGTTTTATAATTTAGGTACCAACACCTCACATTTACCTAAGTCAAATGTTACAGTCAAATAAGTGGTACAGATGAGATACATGTAAAATGGGCAGCAAAAAAGATCAGTTGACTATTGGAAGAGAAATGGACTTGTAAGACAGTAAAAGAGAAGGTGCAAAAATCTTTCCAGTTGAGTGCCTCATAAAAGGTCAGCCACTGGTAGGTTTTTCATTCAGTAACCAATCCGAGTAAAGTTGGTACTTCGTCTTTCTAGCAGTCATCCCAACAGAATCTTGACATCCTTATCACCTTACTAAATCCCCTGTTTCTATCTCCTTCATTTTTCTGCAACCCAGTCTTCAACTTCCATTCTACTTATGAACAAAAATATTCAGGTATTTCTCACTGCAAATATCTTCATATAAACAAGTTATCTTCCTTGAGTTTCTTCAATACATTCTTCTTTCACAACACCTATTATAATTATTCTTTTGGTGGCATAATACTTTGATATACAGTGACGAAAATGCATTTTGCAGTGTTTTTAATGGGGACCTAGGGGAGGGAGGAAAAAAAACAAATAAAAAATAAACACAGTCTGCTCCATTGTTTACTATTTCCTTTGATGCTACTAATAAAACAAAGCATTTCAGTAATGTAAAGGAAACATTGCTTCAGTAGAGGAAGGGTCCTTTTGACACAATGAAAATCAAGAAAGCACTCAACTGACCCATAAATCAAATGACTAATTCTAACTGAAGTTAGTAAAAAAAAAAGTCAAGAGTTAAAAAGTGACATGAGATGAAGTAAAACTATATTTTCACAGAGAAAAGATGTGCACTTTATTTAGTGATGTTCAGCTTCATCCTGAACTCGCTTAGATGCCTCTTTCTATTTATGATCTAATTAATTTAAAATGGAAAGGTTATTCATAAAGTTACTAAATTAAACACCTGAAACAACTGAATTTTCAATTCAGTTATTTGTACTCTGATTTAGATACATTACAGAAAAACAGAAGAGTTACTCTGAATTAGGGTCTCCTCAAGGTGTGAAGAAACTGTTCATGCAACACCTACACTTCAAGAAAAGCATTAGAAACATAGTCATTAAGTGACAATATTTGAGATTGACTGTAGTCAACACACGAAATTTTGCTTGACTGTTCTCAGCAGAAATTTGGCTCTTGTAACTTCAGAAAAATTTCTTTGTTACAGAAACATAAAGCGCCCTGAGTGCAAGACAGCATCAAAAGCTGTCATGAAGGGTCCTGAAGAACTCATGTTCATACCAATAGTCACTGAACACAGGCAAACCAAATTCAAAAGTGGCAGGTCAAGGTGAAAATTAAAGAAATGGTGGGGCATTAAAAAAAAACCAAACAATTTTTCTTCCTCTTTTCTAGCTTTTATCCCATTTCTCTAATCAGCAGTACTCTAAGTAGAAAAATAAACCAGAACACATTACCTTTGTTACTAAATTTATAGTAACATCTGCATCACATTTTTATAAGCAGTGGCAAGTGTTGACCCTTGACTTAGTAAGTTTTAATTTGCTATGAAGCATCAGAAATGAGAAAAGAACAGAGGACAGTAAGAAATGAGCCATCTCCCGAGCATTTCAGCAATCTCTCTATCTACAGATAAATGTAAAAACTCCATAGAACTTACATGTACACCATGTTTGTGTCTAAGTCAATGCACACAATATCCTGTGGTGGATCATACAGATCAAAGTATCGTGAATCAACTCCAACAATAAATGGAACAGGTGCACTGAGTACGGTGGCCAGAGACAAAGGACAGAGAGGGATATATGGACATTGCCACTGAAATGGAAATATCATCTGAAGGAAAAATTAAATGAAATCAATGCATTAAAACAAGACAACAGACACTGTACAATAAAACCTAAGAAGTTACATGCAGCAAATTGAAATTGCTGGAAGCATTGTAACACTGTCTGAAAAGAGTCTTCAAGTTTGACCACTTATTTATGGCACATCTCTTAGTTACCTATGCAAAAATGTTGATCATTCTAATAGTTATAACATAAGACATGCTAGGGCACTTTAACTAAATGTTATTGCTGGGAAAAATGATCATTTAGTGCATCAATCATTTTAACCTAAAAAAGCCTTGCAACAACTGTGGAGTTTGAACCGATTTCGCTCTCTGCTGTACAGAACACTTTGTACTTACAGCTACTACAGCTTCAGCAACTCCTGTCAACACAGCTGGTCTAAGAGAATGGAGGAGGATCTTGCCTTCTAGTAATACAAAGAGCAACAGAGTGGCACAGTTTTCCGGTCCAAGATTCATGAGCAGAGTGCTAAAGTTTGCTCCACTAAGGGGTGGGTGGGAAGGGGGAATAGAATAAGAATGTTACAGGATGTTATAAAAAAAAAAAAAAAAAAAAAAAAGCCCCTGCTACCAAACTTCCGACAACTGTTTGGGATTAACTAGTTGAGTGCTGCTAATAATACCACACATCAAATATCTACCTATTTAATAGCTATCACCTCAGTATGAGACTTGTACTGCCACAAAGAAACCTAAATTCAAATATTGCTAAAACATATGCTATATCATGCTACTGCTGAGTTTGCATTGTTTATGGCAATCTCTCTCATATATGCACTGGCATCTTTTCTTCATAACAGTAAAACAGATCTAACTGGTGTTAACAACTAATCTGAGCACATATAATACCAGTAGTTTCATAGGACGGATTACCTCAGGCAAAAATTGTGAACTAGAGTATCCATTTGATCTTAGAATCACAGTATCAAATTCTAATACTAGTCAAGCAAAATCAATCTATCATTCTGATATCAACATGCATGTAGTTTCTACAGTTTAGACGCCATTTCATTGTTTGGACTGTACACATTTAGGAACTGTAATGACATCTGTAAGAGCACAGGGGTGTAAAATCTGTCCTTAGAAAAGTGCTTACATGTTACTTTGCAGTTTGGTGGCTGGCTGCAATTTTTCACTTAAGAGGCTATGTAACAGATATGATTAAACATGGGATTCTTCTGCATACAGAATATTACATTATAATGTTTAAGGGGTGAGATTAAAAAAAAAAAAAAAAATTTGGTTTTTAACTTAAAAACCAGCCAAAAATCAACAAAGCCATCCAAACAAAACCCCATGTCAAAATCATATGGACATCCAGCCCAGAAGATGCAGGCAGTATCCACAGAGACTGCATCAATTTTCAAGCACAAATATAAATTTTTAGGTATGCTTCTGAATTTCTGAAATGTTTGCACACTCATGCATTGACTGATTTCACATAACTGCTTGACATAAATGTCTCTCTTGGATCCGAAAATGGAAAAAAACCCAACAGTCTATATATGCTATTAGAAAAAAGTTTTGCTTACTACACAGGTTCTGAAAATACAAGATATTTAAATACATGGGGATTTTTTCATCACAGCCTGCTTCTTCTTTCTTTCGAGTTCCTACAATAATCTCATAATTCATCCTTACTTCAGGATAATGAGTGATACTATTCTTCCACAAGGGACAGGTCTATGTCAAAAAGACAAAACTGTATAATATAATAAATGTGTATTGAGTTTTCTCTTTATAAAACCTAATGTTGCAGTAATGTTTGGTTTCCTTCTATGACTCATTCCCATTTGCATCTGAATTTTTCAAGTAGCATACATTTAAAGCATTAATAATGATACCTTAATGGCAATGGTGTAGAAACTGGCTGAGACAATATTAATGCATCATGGGCAGAAAGCTGAAACACATAAAGTAGTACGTGATTGATATGGACAACTCCAAAGTTAATACACTATAATATTCCAATATAAATGTATATCCATAGTCTCATAAACTGCCTGGCAGACAGAGTTACAATGTCATGTAAGAGACGCAAATCAGAGACAATCTTTGCTACTTGTGTTCCCTAGGTCAACAGAGCTTGTATTAGTCACTGAAACGATTCTCAGAAGTTACAGGAAATTGTCTGTGACTCAGTGTTGAATATGTGACTGCTGCTAGGTGATTAAACAGAGAAGCACAAGAGACAGTGCCTCAGGGGACTAACCTTTGACCCATAGTAGTGGGTGGACAAGTGAGAGAAAGACAGAAAACAAACAACCCCCCCACTGAGGTAATGCAAATGGTGCCTATAAAATTAAAGGATAATATATGCCAGAAATTTCAAAAGCGCAAATAGGAAGCTGCTGCCACCCACACCACCTGAAGTCTGAAATAGTCTCCTTTGCTAAGTTACCCCAGGTTTATACCAATGAAAGAGAAGGCCAACCCATCCATCTCCTCCTCTCTCCCTTCCAGCAGATGGGTATTCAAAGCTGAGTAAAAAGCCTAAAGGAAGAAACCAGGCTTTCAAAAGCAAGAAAGAAGGTTTGCCATTATTGTAACTAAAAATGGAAGCAAACGTTTTACTTACCTGCACCAGAATTCTTGGCCTTTGTGGTGAAGGGAAAGGTATATTGTGCATAAAATGGGATATGTGCCTGAAAAGAAGTCAAGCTGTTAGAAAACCGGCACCAGGGACTCATCGGGGGGAAAAACAATGTTAATCACATTTCGGAATTACTATGGTACCAAGTTTTAGAAAGGCCATTAAGATTTATTTACTGGTTTGATAATTTAAAAGCCTATTTATGCAAACAGAAACAAAGAAGCTCCGTTCACTCACATTTAATGCATGAAAATTTATACTGGCATCTTCAGATACATATGCAAAAGATAAGAACACACTGGCATTTAGGCAAGCCATTTAAAATCCCAGGCAGCCTAACCTCATTCTACAGAGTTTCTAATGAGGCTTAGCTAAGAGAAACTATATACTTCACTGCCAGATGTCCAATACAATTTTGAAGGTAACATCATATTTCAGCAACTTTTAGGACCATGAAAAGCATCCTCTACAGAGTTTATGCACACACATACACAGGCACGCACGTTCTCTCTGTCTCTCTCCCGCCATGCTATGCATTAGTTGCAGTGCTTGGAAACAGACACAGATATTCATTGCTAATGTGCACAGTCCCTGAGCTTGTATTTATTAACCTAAAATGCAGGACTGCAAAAGTTAGCATGTATCTTATCGCTCAGCCATCTTCTGTGTTTGATGTCATTAAGAGAAAGGTAAACAGGCTTGACACGTTCTAACAGAAAGCCACAGTAAAATCCAGTTCACTTTCCTAGCACTGCAAAAGCCACTACTATTAAACAGAAGCAGCAGTAATTTCTATCAGTATAACATATATTACACAGTTCAAGCAAGAGGATGGAGCAAATATACCAACTAAGTAAGTGTGACATGTATAAATCACATGACTCCTTGAGCCGATATAACTACCTTCCCACATTAACTTGAAAAATATTTTACATACTTTTCAATGGGAAGAGGATGAGGTCCAGAGACAGAGAGTTTGTAGATGAACATAAGAAATTTTCGAAATGCTTCAAAGAAAGGCCAGTGTGAGAGAAGGCAGATGCATTTGTTGGAATTGATGGACTTGGAAGTAACCACTTTCCTCTCTACAGCTGTCAGGAGACCCAGCTGCAATTGCTGTTTTTCTGTTAGCAGCTCCCGGGGATAAGGCTCATAAAACTGAATAGCAGCACCATAAACCTAAAAGGTGAAGAAAAACAGCTGAGCAGACCCAGTATTTAACAGGAGACTGGATTAGAACTTTCCAAGCATCCTTAAGTCTTTGGTGTTTGCACACACACTACAGTGCTTTCGCGGGTAGCTTGTGAAATGCCTTTTCATTTATGTAAACATACACAAAGTATCCTTATAAATGAAAGGCTCTGGACGCTTGTGCCTCTCTCCCTCTTTTTCATTCCACTTTACTGAACAAAGTATTCATACTCAGTAAATTGAAAGGGAAGGAACCAAACTGCATGCTGTGACAAAACCCTACCCATTAACCATTATAGTAAAAAAAAAAACAAAACAAAACCCTCTCATGAAATGCTTGTGCTCAGTAAATTCCCCTATCATTAATACACTAAACAATAAAATAATTTTAGCTTTGACTTCACTCATTTTATCAAGCTAAACAGCTACCAATCTCTTCTAATATTCCTTCCCTATTTGTCAGAGTTTCATGATTTACTGAATTGTTCTGGTAAGCTTAGCAAAAAGAGAACAGGGAAAGATGGATACCACAGTATACATTCTCTCTGAGAAAAATACTGGCAGGTACTGCATTCCTCTTTGCAAAAGAACTATTAATATATTGGAGAAAGACTTTTTTTGTTGTTTGGAAATGTAGAAGTATATAAATTTTCCTGACAAGGGACTCGGGCAGAGTGGAAGATGACCTGTTAACACTAATAGAGCCAAACTGCTGTTTATTAGTCAGAGAGCTAATCACACATTACAATCACTTATTCCCTCATGCAGTTCACACACACAGACACAGCTGGCAAGGTGAAGCAACACCTGGGAGACCAACCCCAAACAAGGGCTCCCTTCCTTCCTCAGGTGTACCTATAACCCTGTAGTCTCTGTCTGTGTATAGCAGACACTGCCTTATCACATGTGGGCTGAGTCATGCAACACGTTTTTGGTGCCTGTGTGTGCTGGTGGCCTTATACAGATTTGGCAGATGGCTGGTGTTCCAAATGCATCACTTCATGTAAATTCAACAGGATCACTGGTCTCAGGAGCTCATCAGTTCGTCAGAGCCTCTCACATGCTACCTCTCAGCACATACTTTTCCTCTCCCTGCCCTGCTGTTTTCTGGTAACTATTTTTCTATTCAAGTACATAGATACCTACAGAGCCAAATTACACAAATTCACACAGAAGTGGCTTTTAAGGTAACCATAGGAAAACCATAACAACTTAAACATTGCTAACACATGTGGTAAGTGAACATCTCTTTAATATGTAGGCTACATTTCCCAGAAACTTCTTACTTGAAAGAATAGAGAAATCCATGTGCTGTGAATTTTGGTTTTGTTAAGTGTATGGTTCAGCTTACATGGGACTAAACAGCACATACTCTTCCAGCTATTTCCTGTTCTGGTTTACTTCCGTCTTACATGAAGGCTTAAGAAATACAATTTTATAAGGGAAGTATTTAACAATTTATTTTGTAGTATTTCTCAAATACAGAAGAAAAAATGCCAATTTATCTCCACAGCAGCCATTTGAACTAAAAGCAAAATCTAGTCACAGTGTGGAGCCATACCTTTTCTGCAGAAGAGCAGGTCAGTACAAATGTTGAGAACACTGGTAGTGGATATTTGGTTTGTGGGTCCCAGCACTCAATAGTAGCTCCCATAGGAAGGCAGAAGAGAGGTACGGATTCCGATAGTGGGAATGACTCATAGTTTTCTTGAGGATATCTGAAAATTAAGCCTTCAGAATGGGAGAAGGAAAAGTAAGCACATTTGCTTTGCAAGCTCTAAACAATGTAAGCAATATATTTTCCACAACATACAGCAAAGTCTGTTGGTCGTCTGGACTTTATAACCGAATGTTACATCTGCAGAAGAAGAAACTCTCACATCTGACAGTAAGACTAAGTCATCCAAGTAATAAACATATAGAAATTGTGTATGAATACTGAAGCACTCTCTTTTGGTAAGTGCTCGAAAAACAGTACTTAGTAAAAACTAATTAGTGAAGATTTTTACCTTAAACCAGTTGGGAATTACCTGTGCTATTTAAATGTGCCTTTGGAATGGATTTTATTACAAAGAAATTCCTATGAAGAAAGTAGTTATTTATCTACTGTAAAAACAGCAGCAATACCTCCACTGAAAATAGGATGAACTAGCTAAGTGTCCACATTTTCTGCTAATCACTCATTATGTTCAATTTAAACAAATAGTTTGTTCAGTTTTCATAAATATATCTAACTCTTGCTGGTAGAAAATAGGCACACAAGCATCGGTTTATTATTGCTGTTCATCTAGCTTATTTTATGGTACACTGACTTAATTATCTACGCTTACCACTTCTACTTGGTAGTTTACTCCTTTCAAAGGAATTTGGTACATGTAGTGCTCAGTAGAAATTCTTTTGAAAGGTCTGACTTCAGAAAAAAAAATAATAATCTGTAGCAATGCATTAAAAAACTTACAAAAGCCAGATTTAAAAGAAAATACTTTTTGTCATTTATTGATCAGAATATTTTTCACTCTCCTCAAATAAGAAACAAGTGAATAGTTGTGGAACTGAAGAAAAGAAACACATTTAATTTTCAAATTAAATGAAAGATGTTGCATTAGCTGTGAGACATAAAAAGAGATATAAGTAAGGTTGAATAGAATTTTTAATTACTCCTTCTCCATCATCACCAACACAAGAAATATGAAGCCTTTTGTTACACCTGAAATGCTTGCTAAGCTTTCCGCTAAAGGTCCTAATCTACCAAACCTGCCATGATTAGAACTAAATTAATAAAGAGTAATGCCATTCCTATTTTGGCTTTTTTTTTTTTTTTTTTTTGCCTGGGACAAAGTGAGGATTGCAAAGAGGCATTATAGGAGTTGATTTCAACTGACATGCTCTAGGAACAGAATACTGACAGACAGCACTTAAGCTTTTAAAATTATTATTCAATTTCAGCAAGGCATTCAAATCCTTCTGTTACCACGTTTAGACAGTGCTTCTAACATTACTTACCAGCTTTATATGCTAAGGAGTTAGAAGCTGGCACAGACTTCTTGTAACAAAGGTACACACTGGAACCCCACTGGAAGACACAAGTTTCATCTTAGAACCAGAAAAGATAACAACAGGCAGCAGAGGAATCAAGTATAAGCATTTGAATATACTCCTAATATTACAAACAGAGCAGACATTCAGATAAAAAGTGTTACAGAATAAAATGACTGGTTGGCTGCTGAGTGCATGTTAATCATGAAATCAGGAATTCACCCTTCTCACATTTTTTAGAGATTACAGGATTTATGTAAAATAATCACACCACCACACTACTCTTGGACTTATTCCAACAGAAGAACAGGGAAAAGTGAAGCAGATCATTCGCAGCTTCACATTTTCTTGGTTAATTAGAAGGAGATTTTTATGGGAACCTCACCCATGGAAGTGAAATTCTAAACATCATCAGTTGAAGATTTATCGTACTTCCATAAACTGGTTATTTACATAGTGGTTTTGCAGTTTGTCTAAATAGACTTTGCCATTTGAAAAAAATCACTTATTTCAGTCTGAGTAAACTAAATGCAAAACAGACTAAATAAAAGCGAACTGATTGAAAAAAAAGTACATGAAGAACTGTAAGCAGTAATTATCATTCTTGCATGTCTTAGTAACATAGGCATTATTAATAACTAAGAAAAAAGTGTTCATGATTCATCCAGAGTGTCAGCATCACCAAAGAGGGGGCAGGAACAAGATTAAAAAAAAAAAAAAAAAATCCATCACACTACTCCTAAATAGCACCTAGACATGAATATGCAAACTGAAGCAGTGAGTAATCAGTATGAAGAAGTAATTCCTAACACAAAAGGAAATCAGAGCAACAAAACTTACAAAAGTGAAGTCTCACACATGGTATATAGAATGAAAGAATTACGATGTAGTGATAGAACACAATTATTTAACAGTGCTAAGAAAAGTTCAAAGAGCTACTCCTTTGGGTTGGTTTGTTGGGTTTAAAAAAAAAAAAAAAAAAAAAAAAAAAAGACACACTCAAGCTTTTAAATACTCACCATACCACAATTTAAATTCTTATCTACTTTGCAGAATGTATGAGGAGGAGTTTCTCCTTTGCTGGTAACAATAACACAGATATCGGTCACTGCCAATGAATTTTGAGGTCGTACTAGAGGAGCCCTTCGATATGTGATAAAGATCCGTTGAGAAGAAGCTGAACTGTTGTTAACATTAGCGCAACGACCATAAGGAGTAGCTTGAATCACCTCGCAGCCTGAAATGATGCGTTCCTTCCCCTCATATAGAACTCTGCAGCAGGAAGGAAACAAAATATTATGCGCATTCAAATATATATGAAGTTACTTGGACAAATTCACAGAAACTGCCTATCTGTTAGCACCCTATGTCATTATTGCAACATTCTAATATGCATTTTATATATTGTCTCTTGTTGTGCACGATTTGAGGTAAAGAAACTGTTGAGAAACTGTTAATTATTATAAGAAATCTCTGTGGGAACGTATCATAGTTATGGAAAAATAAAATCAAGCCACACTGAAAAAGATTTAGTTAAAGAATTAGTAGGAATGCTGCACTATCAATGAAAATTAAATATAAAGGAAGCTTTAGTTTGTTTGCACACATGATACCTGATAACTTCTTAGAAATATTTCCATCACTAAAATGTCTGGAAAGTAATTTCAAGCTTGCCTTTTTTTTCCTTTTAAGGAATGTTATTGGAAAAGAACAACAGAAGACAGAAGTCTGCTTCCTAGATGAATTTTTACAGGAAAAAAAACCCAAACCCAGTAATGATTTACATTCATAGTTTGAATAACATTCCTTAATGGAAGCTGGGGGGAAAGACAAACTAATACTCCACTCCACAGAAAAGGAAGAAATAATAACTACAATTGGCTGTACTCCTAGAAAGCGGAATATGTCTTACAAGGCCATACAGCAACACTCACATAGCCAGTTCACTCGTAGATCACCACATTCTTAGCAAAAAAAAAAGATTCTTCACAGCTTCACAGCAGCTCAATGAACTAAAACTTTATATTCTGATCTTTCCCAAACATAAAGCTAGTAGGAAGTGACCATGAGAAGAAATGTGGAAGGCAAACCATATATCACTGCCATATATTTAATGCATAAATGCTATGATAGGGCATGCTTTATCTCCCGTTCCACAACCAAAATGGTTCCATTTGCTTGATTCTCTGCAGTATGTACAGAGTACTTGCCACCTTCAAATGAGTTTTCATCTTTACAATACTCGGCAAGATTTAAGATAAAGGTAACACATTAAAATTTTGCATTTTGTGACCTGCAGCTTCCCACATGTAGTCCACCACAACTTTAAAATAAAAAATAACCAGGCAGTGTATCTTTTACTGTCCCAAAATACCCTTGGTTAAATGTTTGACAGACTACTAGTAAGTATATATTTGGAAACTTCAAAAGGTCATGTGAATAATCTAGGAAAAAAACCCCAACTTTTCCAGATCCAACAATTCTCAGAACTTTCAAAAAACTACATATCATTAAACTTCCCAAATTACTTAAATACTACCATCCATCTTTAAACTGGAATATTCAAATATTACTGTTTATTCCGATTCCACAGAACAAATGCGTATCTTGTCACAGTATTGAGGATATATGTGAACTACAGTCCTAGAATACTTTAATAAAGCAAAGAAATCACACGAGTCGGGAGTATATTGATGTAACTACCAGGCTGCCATATAAATTTATTCAGATAGTTCATGGAGGACAATATACTTGCCTTCAATAATGGTTTCAGTTGTAAAGAATCTGATCATCACACTTTTTCTACATTTAAAACAATGTGTAATCTCAGATTCAAAACCAGCCTAATACCAGTATTTCCAAATTACAACTTTAGTTTTAATATACTACCTACTGGTTCAAGATACGTATAAAGAAAGTACATGCTGTTCCAATTACTTCTAAATTAAATAATCTTCTGGAAGAACATGTATTTTGCTCTTTTTATTGGGTTACCTACTTCATGAAGTTGAAAAAAACCCAAACAAAAAAACAAACAAAACCAACAACCACAATGGCAGCAGGTCTCAGGCCACCTTCATTGTGCATAAAAAGTTTACATTAACTCTTCACATCACTGCCTTACATTAATCAGAAGAGAATATTAACAGAGCAGTCTCCAATGGAAGTTTCAGTTCAGTTTTATTTTGATTTCATGTATTTTAAATAAAATCCACGAATATAAAGCTATTCCAGAAACATTTGTCAGCTGACAGCTTTTGAGAAGGAAAACCATATTAATCAGACAATTCCAGCAATTCAATTTAATAAGTCTACAAGGATTCTCAGGAAGATACTTAAAGACTGAACAATTTCTCAGTTGTGCAAATACTTCTAAGAGGTAAGGGGCTGACCAGTACTCAAGATTGTAACAGTGGGGTCACCTCCCACCAAAAGCAAAAAGAAAATGAAAGCAACTCTTACCCTTTCACATATATAACAGCAGAAGTATTATTAAAACTACACCATTTCCTGACCTCATGCATAGTATTGAATTTAAGAAAACAAGCAAACAGAAGAAAACCACCACCCAATGATCACTCAAATTAAACAATTATTTTAATGATTCAGACAAAAACATTCAGAAGTGATGCATGAAATATTTAACATGACACCCTGTATATACAAAGTCCTCCCTGAGAGAGTAAGTTTACTCTTACTTATTCCAACTTCCAGTGTCTGCCTTCAATTATTAGTACTGATCAGGGTTAAGAGTTGTTTCCTGCTTCTGTGAGCTTATACTTTGGCCTGGATGCTAAGTATACCTTATTTGCTACATTATTCTATCAACTTCAATAAAGTTTAATTTCAAGCAAAATGTAACCTACAGTTTCCTCTAGATGTTAGGTCCTGTCTTCGTAATAAAAGCAAAAAAATCTTGTTATCTATTCATACGGCTGTTTCACGTTGCACATGGAAGTTCTCTCACGACCAATTTTACTGATTCAAAGGTATACTTCAATACATCAGTTAAAAGAGTTTAGAAAAGATAAATACTACCTTCCTGCAGCTGTTGAGTTAAAAACCTTAAACCACTGAAAATTTTGCTTCTGGAAAACCATTTCAAAATAGGCAGACTGTTACAAATTGCATTGTGTGGGGCTGCTCTCCAGCTTGACTTCTCCTCTAGGTCCAAACACATTTCTGCCTCTCACAGTCCTTATGCAAAATAACTTTTTACAATAACTCTTCCCGTCTCATTTAAGAGAAGGCAGTATGCAAGTATTGAATAATAAAAGCACTAAAATAAATATACTAGGCAGTAGGAGGGTCAGAGAAGCGTTGGGTGAAGCAGAGGGAAAAGATTGACTTATCTTTTATTTCTACTGCACCTCTATTGTTATTTGTCTAAACATACAAGTGATTAGTTTCATCATTACTACCCTAAGCTGTTCCAAACACCCAACTGCACTTGTCACACTAGTGGGATATACAAAACAATGGAAGATGCTGGCTGTTACAAACATCTTCCAGTTTCTATTATGCTTCTTCAAGTTTGAGTTCACTTTCACTTTTTAAATACATCCCTAAGTAAAGAAAAACATTTGTTCAATTGATACTCTTGCAGATATTTTCAGAAACCAGGTATGCAGAATGAAATGGGCCCTTGGCACAGAATCACTAACCAAATTAAAGCTTCCCACACTAGTTTAAAAAAAACCAAAACCAAACAGTATGCCTTTACCTACACAATGCAAGTTACCTTTGCATTACTCAGTAATACTAGAACCTCTGCTTCAGACAAGAAGTCTGATATTCTTTCTTTGGTCCTTTCTACAGTTAAGTGTTACAAATTACCACTTACACTTAAAAAGCATTTTTCTGACATCTTTTCTTCCATTTAAAAAAGAAGTGCTGGAGCTCTCCCATATTCCTAAATCAAGTGTAAAACAAAAAGAGAGTTGAGATCTTGTTTCAAAGTCTCACTGCACCTAAACCCAAACAAATCTCAAATCTTGTTTCTTGTCTACTTCTGGAACATCACCAAAAATACTGGTTAGGAAAGCAACAGAATGACTAGTAGCTGAATTACTTATAGAAATATAAACTTAAGATACTAAATTTTACAGCTGTATGTAGGAAAAGGACCGTAGAGATCTCTTGTCCTAGGATCAAACCTTTATTCTTCCAACTAAAAACAGCCACAGCAAATGCAACATCTACAGGCATGGCACATGGCCTAACTATATGCAAGTGAACACCTGCAGCAGGAAGTCACTCTAGCAGCTTGCAGACACTTCAACTTAAGAACCAGTGGAAGAATAGGAAGGAAAGAGAATGGAGGGCACAGAAATACAGAACACAAGGAAAATGGCAGAGAATCAGTAGAGCGTACCCCTATCTCCTCCTTCTTCCAAACAGCATTTGTTTAATTAGTTTCCCTAAAAATAGCCCTGAAAGAAATACACACACACATTTATCAAGAATCATCTGAATGCTTTGACTACAAGATAACTCAACTTTATATATAAATTAACTACCTTGACACCAGACTATGTATTTGACCCTTGCAAGGGATATACTCTACCTACTAAGTCCACTCAGCATGTCAGCTGACTTAATTGATATTTAAGGCTCAAAGAGAAAATATTCTTTCACACTTGTTTCGTTAATTAAAAGGGAACAGCATAAATCAGCCTTCAGACTGTACATACATCTCATGTGCAAACTCCACTTTCATTTCAACACACTGAAATAAAAAAAAAAAAGCAAGCTTGCTCTAACTATCTCTTGCACATAGTTGCAAAACAGCAGGAACGGCAGGGGGAAAACATTCATATGCATCATTGGTCAGAGAGAAAAGCCTGCCATGATTTGTTAGGTGTGATACCCAAACTAGATCTGTGTAAAAAAAAAAAAACCAAAACAAAACAAAAAAACACACCAGAATAAATGCTACTTGCCAAATACCACAGTTTTCCACCAATAGTTTTAAAAAGTGTCTCTGTTAGGGAAGCCCTTAGTCAGCCAACTATTTGCCTGTTTTGCTTATCAGATATTCCCTATGAAATCTACCCAAGCATTCAAGTTCCTGAAGTTGTGGGAGACATCAAAATAAAATGTGCTAGCAGAGTCACTTCCATAAAGGCACATGCTGAAGACCAATGGTTTAAGAATCCCTTTGAGGAATCACTCCCTCTAAAAATTCTTCCTTCTGCTAAAACCTACTGAAGTTTGACATATCATTCAAAGAATAATCTCATACGGAATTCTACACAAATTCCTTTGTAACAGTTATCTCATCTCGCAGCATCAGTCACACACATGGGAAAAGACTATTTTAAAAATCACAGTTTCACTGAAGATTAGAACATAGTTTAGATGATTGAGATGAACTGAAATTGGACTCTACCAGGTTAATTATACAACTTGAATTATAATCCTTAGAGCAGAGATCTTGCAATGTAACTGATTTCATTACTAAGATTTCACTATGTTTCGGGTTTGTGTGGTGGGGTTTTGGTAGCAGGGAAGGGCTGCATGGATGGCTCCTGTGAGAAGCTGCTGGAAGCTTCCCCAGCTCCAAATGGCACCTGCCTCTGGCCAAAGCCAAGCCCATCAGCGACGGTGGTAGCACCTTTGGGATAAGTATTTAAGAAGGAGAAACCTGCAGCAGAGAGGGGAGTGGAATGTGAGAGGAACCCCTCTGCAGACACCGAGGTCAGTGCGGAAGGAGGGGAGGAGGAGCGGGGGAGGAGGCTGATGCCCCTGCAACCCGTGGTGAGACGGCAGGCTGTGTCCCCCAGCCCACGGGGGGGAGCGGGGGAGCGGAGGCCCACCTGCAGCCCCTGGAGGAGCCCACGCCGGAGCAGGTCGTGGAGAACCGTCTCCCGTGGGAGGCACCCCAATGCTGGAGCAGGGGATGAGTGAGGAGTCCTGCCCCTGAGGAGGAAGGAGCAGCAGAGACAAGGTGTGATGAACTGACCCCAACCCCCATTCCCCAACCCTCTGTTCTGCGGGGGGAAGACCGTAGAGAAAATTGGGAGTAGAGTTGAGCCCAGGAAGGAGGGAGGGGTGGGGGGAAGGTGTTCCAAGATTTGGTTTTTACTTCTCACTATCCTTGTTTTGATTTGATTGGTAGTAAATTAAATCAATTTTTTATCTTCCCCAAGTCGAGTCTGTCTTTTGCCCGTGACCATAAGTGGTGAGTGATCCCACCCTGTCCTTGCCTCAACCCATGAGCTTTTTGTTATTTTTGATCCTCCCCATCCCACCGGGAGGGGGGAGGAGTGAGCGAGTGGCTTCCTGGTGCTTTGCTGCCAGCTGGGCTTAAACCATGACACACTATCCTGACTGGACTCTACTTGTCAGTTGGCACTCAAACTGTAGGTCAAAAGCAGGCTATGTAGGCATTGTGCCCTGATGTGCTTAAACTTGCAAATGAAATTAACAAAATTTATTATAGCTTACATATAGACACGTTTTTTACTTTTTTACTTTATACTATTTATTTAATAACTAAATGGGGAAAAACACACACATTCCTTATTTTGCCATCATTAACAGGCCATCGCCA